TGTCACGTGTCTCCAGTCTGGAAAGACACCCGGTGGCCGGCGCTGTTGAAGACGTAGGCAGGTGTTTCTGCGACGGCCTACGGAGCTGCCACTCAGCAGCCCAGCCCTCGCCTTCCAAGTGGATTCAGAGCCATGTAGGGTTGGCACCGACCACCTCTCCTCTCAGAGTTTCTCCCAGGGTTCTAGAGAGACAGCTCACTCCACCAGCCTCTTCCCAGCTCTGAGCTCCGCCTCTGAACCCTTCATAGCAGTGGAACCGCGAGCAGTGGGGCAGTGGTTAGTAGGACGTCCCTCACTTGGAGTCTTGCGGTGTTTCCTGGTTCTGATTCTCTGCCTTGGCAGGGACTTCGGGTCTTCAGTGCCTGGAACCAGGACCCACGCACTTTACTCTGTCGCCTTGCAATGTTGTTCTCTTCTATTTTTTGAAGAGGGTGGAGCCTGCCAGCCTTTCCCCTGTTAAATTAGTGGTTTTCCCTTATTAATTAATAGATATTCGGGGAGAAGATGTCTCGAGATTTTGAAGATATCCTGTGCCTCCTCCAACTTGCAGTTAGTTATTTGTTGACTTACATCATTATGGAGCCAGGGAAAATTCTTACTTGAGTCAACCTGTTGCTATTGTTATTTACTGTGACATTGGGATTGTCCCCGACATAGCCAGTCCCCCGCAGCGGCTACATGCTGGCTGCACCAGTTCTTGAGCATGTCCTTTTATCCTGGCTCAGAATGTTCTAGGCTGTATTGAATTCCCAGCTGTTTCTCCAACATGCCAGATTTGCTTCCTTGGAGAATGATATTTAGAAGCCAAAGGATGCATTGAATTTACCACTTGCCAGTGTTAAAAATAAGAATTAATTAGTGTGACAGAGTAAGGCCAGGTGCCAACAAGGCTATGGGGCTGGCGAAGCATGGAGTCCCCTCCTGGTGGTGGTGGGGACAGCATGACTGCTGGAGGACCCCGTGACATGCCCTGGGGTCTTCAGAGCTACGGACAGAGGTGGTTGGCAGAAGACCAGGAGTACAGTGCCAGCCACCAGGTGCAGCCCAGAGTGACAGCTCCCACAGCCAGGAGGATGAGAAGTGCACACCCACATGCCCAGCTCTAAGGCCACGCAGGGGGACAGTGGAGAGCCACCAGGTGGGCCTAGAGGAGGGCATCCTGCGCCATGTCTGGCTCCCATGGGAAGGTCACAGCCCCAACCTCACAAAGAAAATGGAGGTTCAGAATTTAAATAAGGAAGATGTGCAATGTTTCACCTTCTATGGATGAGACAGCCCTGGAGAGTGGGACAGTGACAGTGGAGGACAGAGAGAGGCGGAGAGAGACAGAGTGACAGAGACAATGGAGAGAGAGGGAGAGAGAACGGCTGTGGTGTCAGACACAGGCAGAGGCCACCTTGGACCTTCCAGTCCCAGGGAGCAATGACAACATGTGGCAGTTGGTATTGTCATTGGCCAGTGCAGGAATTCATGAGTGCAGAGGCTGAGGGGCTCAGTGGGCGACTCTACACATGGGACCCTACCCAGGTGCCTCTACTCTGAAGGTACCCCTTCCTTCAAAAATGCCACCTTACTAAAGGTTTGCGGTGGGCTCCCCGTGTGTGTGTGTGTGTGTGTGTGTGTGTGTGTAGAGAAAGAGAGAGAGAAACTTATTTTAATGAATGGCTCATGCTATGGCAGGGCTGGCAATTTCAGAGTTTGTAGGGCAGGCCAGCTGGGAGGTCGGCAGGAGCTGACCCTATGGTCTTGAGGTAGAGGTCCTTCTTCTCCAGGAAGCTGTCTTGCTCTTAAGACTTCCACTGATTGGATGAGGCCCACCTCCGGTATCAAGGGTGGTCTCTTTAGTCACTTATTATAGACACTAACCACATCCACAAACATCCTCACAGCAACACCTATGTTCTGGTCACTCACCTGGGTGTTTTATCCATTGCCAAACTGATGCAGACTACACCACAACTCTAAAAATAACTCCTGGGAATTATCAAAATGAGCCACGTCTGGTATCAAACATCCGGGAGTCCCCACTTCCCTCTGGAGCTTGGGACACTGAAGCTGTCACAGGGCCTGGGAGGATCAGCAGCTTCTTCTTGGGGATGAGGAACAAACTGCGTACCAACATCAGCAGGATGGGGAGGGTTACTGACCCTGCGGGTCCCTGCTTTTCTGAGCCGTCAACAAGACTGTAGATGATTAAGAAATTCTGAGAAAGAAAGGTTGCCAAAAAAGTAGCAACAAGACTTTAAAAAGTCAGTACAGTATTAAAAAGTAACCAGAGATAGAACTACAAAGAAAATCGAAAGTCCATCTAACCAAAAAATACCTCCACGAACATGAAACACAAGGTTTGACCCCATGAACGCAGGTAGAGGAGATGGCGATGAAATCCGTACGGATAAAACAGATCAAGTCTTTACATGAAAGGATGATCTTAAAATTGATTTAAAAATAGTTTCTTTAAAAACAAGAAAGCAATCTTCAAGCACCGAGGGTGGTTTTAAATAGAAAAAAAAATTTTCTGTTTGCTAAATATAACTTGAATACTGCCCACTTTGAATAAAGGTGTGAAGAGAGCACATATTAAGTTGGGTGAAGTAAAGGTGAATTTTAAACAAGCCAGACCACATTTGGGAAGGCCAAATTGTGTGACAATTGAATTTGCCTTTTGAGCTTCCTGGCAACCAAAGCAAAAATAGATTCATTTTAATGACTAAGTCTATGCTATGGCGGGGCTGGCAATTTCAGAGTTTGTAGGGCAGGGCAGCTGGGAGGTCGGCAGGAGCTGACCCTGTGGTCTTGAGGTAGAGGTCCTTCTTCTCCAGGAAGCTGTCTTGGCCAGTGCAGGAATTCACCTTCCTGTTCTGGAGCATGCATGCTCTGTAGGCAATATCACCCCCAAAGGGTGAAAATTTGTTCTTAGAGGACAAAAAATGTCTTATTTTTTAACATAAAAACAAATATACAAAAGCTACATACACATATAGTATATTTGTGCTATTAAAATTTCACTGTGGGGAATGATTAGGGGGAACTAGGTTCTCAGACGGGCCTAGAAAGGCAATTGTGAAAATCAGATTAAGAACACAGCTCCTGAGAATAGAGTTTGTGGCTGCTTGCAGAGTCCAGCCCTGAACCTCACCCCAGAGGGCCTGGACCTGGAGACACTGGGCACACACCAGCACTTCTACCACTGACATTGGAAAGCCTGTGTGGCGTGCTGGCCACCTCCCCTCACCCCCAACTCTCTTCTGTTCCCTGTGCACTTCCCAGATCTGGAGACCTGTGTGGGGAGCCTGCAAGGGGGCCGTGGCAGGTGGCAGCTGGGTTGTGGTGGGAGGCTCTCCTGGGTTGGGGACAGGGAGAACGGCATGCGGTGCCATTTCACTGTGATGCCTGTAGGGCTCCCCGCAAAATGGCCCACAGCCAGGGCTGGACTCGCACTGTCCCAGGTGGGTGTGCCAATGTCACTTGTTCAGGATGGTGCATAATATGCAGTGTGTCTACACCAGATGACGGGCATCTGTCTTGGATAGAGAGCTCGGACTAATGAAGAAAAGACTTGCATGTTCACAGGCGTCCGCAGAAGCACATTCTCCTGGACTACCTGTGTTTGGAAAGAGGGGCAGTGGGGCCCTTGTCCTCTTTGTTTCCTGCCACCTACGATCCTGCCTTGAGGGTCTAGAGAAAGCTCTAAGTACCCAGGCCTCCCAAGTTAAATGGCACCCCGCAGGGAACAAAGCCCTCTCTCAGATCTGCAGCAGCAGAGGAGGATTGAAGGAGCCTAGGGGTGGAGGCAGAGGCCAGGAAGGGGAGGACGGCTTCCGAGTGCCTGCTCCTGTTGGCCAGGACACACAGACACAGAGGGACCCGGGTGCTCTCTAGCGGGCCCCAAATCAGAGGCGATCAAGACACACGAGCTCATCTTTGAGACACTAGAACAGAGACAGCAGCATTTGTATTTTAGATTAAAGGATAAAGACAAAATCAGCAGACACTGAGTCTTTTTAAATAACATTTTATTTTTCATTGTCAATGATTAACTTTGAAGCCTACTAGAAGAGTATCATGATCATGGTGAATAAAAAAATATAGATGATAGAATAAAATATTAGGTTATACAAAGTTAGTCCTTAAAAAAATCATCGTCCACCAACATTTTCAGGACTTTGGAGCTCTGAAAAACAAAATGGAATTTTTGCGTGTGTTTTTTTATTTCCAGAAGTTAGGAATTAAAAACACGTACTGAGAATCCTTTGCAGATGTCTATTACAATCAACAGAAGGACCGCAAAAATTAAAACAAGTCCTAGGAACCATCATATATACAAACTTCTGTACAGAACCAGGATGCAAGTAATCCATCCCATGGAGACCGTCTTTCGTGGCATACGCGTTCTTTTTCACAATAGAGTGGAAATTCAATTTTGCTATACTCATATTTGATCCAGTATTCTTAATGTCGTTTCTGCCCCATAAATTAGTAACTGTTCAGTAGCTGAGAAATATCCTATTTTAAATTATACCAAGAGAAATGAGGAACTGCCCCGGAAAGGCTGAACTGAGTTGCCTAACGTAGGTGGAAGGTGGAGTCAACCAGGGCACAGTGACACAGTGCAGCCAGGAGGGGCTGGCCACACAGCCCGCGAGCAAGAGTGGGGCCGAGCCTGCAGAGGACGAGGATCCTCTACACAGCGCCGCGCACCTGCTCAGGGTGCTGTCTCCCACCCTCGGATCAGCCGAGCTCCTGCTGACCCAAGTCATTTGGCACAAAAAGAAAGGACGCCCGGGCAGACTGAGGCTCTCTCCACGGCGCCACACTCGGGGCCCAGCTGTGATACACTCGGTGGATGTCCTGTCCCCGTCACCACCATGACGCTAAGGGCCACTGGCTGCACGGTAGCATCAACTCCTTTGAAGGAAAAGCCACGGCAGTGAAGAGGAGACACGGCCGGCCGGTGAGGTAAACAGCAGACAGAGGCGAGGAGGGGAGGACAGACGGACGCCTCGCGGCTCTCACTGCACAATCCCTGAGTCCACCGACGTCTGCTTGCGGGTCGTCTTGGGCGGGGGAGGCGGGGGGGTTTTGCTGGGCAGCGGAGGTGGCAGATGCTAGAAAACAGGAGGAAGAAGTCACATGACTGATGTTCCCAAAGAAAGCTCCCCTCTCCACGTGGGCTGACGGCACAGTGGCCCTGGTGGAGGCTTGCACTGGCTCTTGCGTGATGGGGCTCCCTCCTGCCTGGCTCAGGGCTGGCAGGACCATGACACCCAAGCCAAGCACTTTTCACCAAGCCTGCAGGGCCTGAGCAGCAGCACCTCCACCATGCTGGCTGGCATGGACGGGGTGCTCTGTGTCCTCGGTGATGCTCTCCAGGGAACACCCTCCTGCCTGGGCTGAGAGCCAGGGTCACAGGCTGCTCCTGGAAAGGACCAGAAACTCAACACCTCCAGCTCCAAGGGCTCCATGGTCTTTGCTGAGGCCAGAAAGCAGCCAGGGGCCGTAGGTGAGGGAAGGGCCACAAAACTTTATTTACAAAACCAGGTGGCCAGCTGGACTGGCCCACAGGCCACAGATGGCCTCATATTCGCATAAAGAACTTGAACTCATGATTGTAGCGCTGACAGAAAAACACCCATCCTAACGGAGCGTCAGCGGTGTGACAGACTATGGCAGCTCTGCCCTATGGTGCTTGGGACCCTCTTGCCCCTCACAGTCTCCGTGGGGCTGGGTCAGCGTGAATGAGCGAGGAGTGAAGGAATGAATGGAGACGTGAGCAGGTCAGGGGGCAGGAGCACACCCTAGGCAGAGCGGGCTGGACGAGGTGTCAGAGCACCCCACCCAACTTCAGGGTGAGAGCGGTCTTCACAGCTCACAGCGGGGCTGGCGTCTAGCAGAATGTGAGAAAAGACCTTCTCAAGAGCAGAGCGGTGGCCCAGGCGTCTCTCACCCCCTGCCCAAGCTCCTCCGATTCACGTACAAGTAACTGCAAGGACGCCCTGTGCTGAGCAGAGCCAAGCAGATCTGCAGGCGTGACACATGGCCGTCCTAGAAAGGAACGTGAACTACGGACCCACAGTCTTTCCAAGGTCGGGATGAACAGGTGATGCCCCCGGGAGTCTGGCCACCAGGTCGGTGTGTTCACAGGGGAAAGCCACGCTGGGAGGCCTTGGGAGTGAGCAGGACAGACAGACTACGCTAGAGATGCCCTTGGCGGCCACGTGAGTGTTGGGCTGCTCACCACCGAGCAGGGTGACAGCTCAGGTGACTGGTCCTAAGCGCCATCGTGAAAGAGATGGCAGCTTAAAGCAGCAGCAGCCAGAGGCAGAGTTGCCTGAAAGCCTGAGGCCACCAAAGAGAGTGACAGGAGGTGGTGATCACCCCCACGGCAGACGATGAGCATCCTCCTAAAACAGCTCAAGGTGGCACCCCAGGAAGGGCAGTGGCCAGTTACAGCACCCGGGCCACCAGCCTGTCACCTAACACGCTCTCGCACTCAAGTACATTAACAGGAAACAAGGAGCAGAGAGAGTCGGGCAAGTAACCTGAGTCCTCGCCCTGTGTGGACTGACCAGAGCTCGCACACACACACAGTCCTCCACTTGATCGACTGCACAGGGCACCCTTAGAAAGACGTTCCCAAGACACTATGACAGGGAAATGTTACCCCTGAGATGATCTGTGACCAAAACAGACCTGGGAGTGATTCCAAGTTCAGAACTTTGAGTTTACTAGAGTAGGGACCTAGGAGACGTTCTTAATTTTCGGTTAAAACAAAGACGTGATCTGTCAAGCCATTAAGAAAACAGCGCTCCAAGCTAGGCTGGTTCCCCTGGACCTTGTCTCCTTTGGTGCTAATACGTGGTCACAAGTGCCAGGAAAGGTCAGGTTTACAGAGAGTGCAATGAGCCCTTCCCGCCTCCCGGAAAGCCCCCTTCAGGGTAACCTGGTCCCTCCTCCAGGGCCAGTTCCCCACTGTGACATCTTTGTGGGGACGGCGCCTATGTGAATGGCACTCAGGAGAGTCCCCTGTCCTTTCAATGTCCAGGAGGATGCCCCCGTACTTAGTTCTCTTATACAAAAGGAATGATCAAAGAGACACTGTTGGCCAACGCCCTCTCTCCTGCTCTCCCACAGGAAAGATGAAAGACGAGCAGTGCTCAGGGAAAGAGTCCCCATGAAAACAGAAAAAGGAAAGGAAAGAGAGAAAGGGACAAGGCATGCAGAATTCACGACATCTGTGAAGGGAAAAGCCCACCTCCGGCGGGCACTTCACCCCTGTGCCCTCAACGCTCGGTGGGAGTTCTGCAGCCCTGTAATTACTTTATGGAGGCTGAAGAGCAAAAAATACGACCCACTGCACAAACATGAACAAGGATATTTACTCTTCAGACTGAGCTGATTTGATTTTATAAGACTGCAAATAGTGCGGCCCAGGGACGGGCCTGGCAGTGGACATTCTCCCGCTCCTGCGTAAGTCACACACAGGCCTCCTCCCCCCGTGGGCTGCTGCAGAACCCATGCCCTGACAGGGGGGGACTGGCCGGAAGTATGGGGGTGAGGGACACATGACAGCAGCCATGAAAGCCCAGAGTGCAGTGTGGTGGCCCTAGAAGGATGCTTCTAGAACCAGCAATTGGCACAGAGGCCCTGGCTCAGATGGCTTTTTGAGACTTTTCACCAAGATTGGCATTAGGGGCAGGCCCAGGAACACCGCAGACAGGACTGATGACAAAACAGTGTCCCGGGCTCTGGTCTGGAGGCAGCCAGGTCACTCCAGGCCAAGGTGCAGAGGGTGCTGAGGCTGGGGGCACTGTGAGGGGCAGCTGCGCCCAGTCTGAAGTCAAGCTGGCTCCCTCTGCAGATCCTCCGAGCAGCCAGGGCCTGTAGCAGCCCAGGAGCCACCAATGTGAAGGTGATGTCCCAGGAAGAACTGCAGGGACAGAGCTCCTCTGGGGCCAGGCAGGTGCACAGTGGGTGTGCGCCACCCCTGGGGACCACATGGCAACTCCAGTCACATAGACCCCTCGGTAGGAAAGCTGCTCCGCCATCAAGATTTCACCAGCATTGCCTCTGCAGAGGGGTGGCCCGGACAGATGCCTGTCCCTCCTCCTCCTCCTCTTCCTCCTGGGCGCAGCCCTGGCTGTGCGGTTCCCTGCAGATACTGATCATGACGCAGGACCGTGGGTCTTGGCACAGTCCTCAACACGTCGACAAAAGCAAACTGAGTCCATCATATGATTTGTCCCACCAGCCCAAAGCAAACATGCTGCCCTCTGGAAGGAGATCCCAGGAGAGGTGTCACCCAGTCCTGGGTCCCAGACCCCCACTTACCCTCTGGTGTGGAGGAGGCGGCGGAGGTGTTGACGAGCCCATCAGGTCCTGGTTTTCCATCAGATTCCCATAGTCTGCCATGCTGCCCTTGAGAGGCAGAGGGGGCGGGACATCAGCCACATCCACCCCGGTCATGCCGTTCAGCTCCAGACCTAGGAGAGCGGGATCTGATTAGAACGAGACACACACCCTTATGAGCTGATGACTCGCAGGGCTGCTCCTGGGTCTCTGGGCAGCAACAGCTTCTCCTGCAGGGTCATGTGCCAGCAGAGCACAGGGCAGGGAGGGGTAGAGAACACAAAGTTGGAATTCCCTTCTGGTGGAATATTCTAGAAAGGAGACAGCAAGTTTAAAACCAGAGCTTCAAGTGAGGCATCTGTTGTGAAAACACATGTCAACATGGTCCCTCCCCTCCCCTGCTGGGGCCCCTTTACTTTGGAAGCATCTGCACAGTCGGTGTCATGGGCACTGCCTAGGACTGTGGTGTTCCAAGCCCTGCCAAGGCCCCGTCCCCGGCCTGTCCTCACTGCCTGCAGACCCAGGGCCCTGTCCCCGGCCTGTCCTCACTGCCTGCAGAGCCAGGGCCCTGTCCCCAGCCTGCCCTCCCTGTCTACAGAGCCAGGGCCCCGTCCCCAGCCTGTCCTCCCTGTCTACAGAGCCAAGGCCCTGTCCCCGGCCTGCCCTCACTGCCTGCAGACCCAGGGCTCCGTCCCCGGCCTGCCCCCCCTGTCTACAGAGCCAAGGCCCCGTCCCCGGCCTGCCCCCCCTGCCCCCCCTGCCTGAAGAGCTCCCTCAAGCAAAGCCACACACAGCCTCCACCCACTTTCCACTCTCACCAGGACAACCCCCACCCTGGGACACGAAGGTGTCAGGGGTCACGGTCACTGTGGCTGCCGCTTTACACAGGTGGAGAGGACAGCCGATGGATAAAGTAATGGGAAAGAAGCCCTCTCCATTGGGTCATCGGGGCAGGTACCTCCTCAACTCCTGGTAGCCTCTTGGAGGCAATTCATTTTCTTTCACATCAAAGAGAGAAAGTGTCTCTCTGATGTGTGACTCAAAAGTTTCCCCAGTGCTTTCACTGATGACAGATCCTTCCTCAGAAGAGTTGCCCTGGGGGACGAGGAAGCTCTGCCCTGTAGTGGGGAGGGCAGGAAGGAGGCTTCCAAGAGGCTCTGTCCTCAGGAGTGATGACTGTGGGTTGGATCATGGAAGAACAGTCGTGTCATAAAATTTGCCGATTTGACCATCTTTCAGTGCACAATTCAGTGGTGTGGATCACACTGACAGTTTGGTGCGGCCGTCGGCAGTGACCACCTCCCGCTCCCAGCACCTGGACACCTCTGCTCTGCTTTCTGCCCCCACGGGCCTGCCATCCTAGACACCTCACACGAGCAGAGTCCCGAGGCCCCGTTATGAGGACTCATTCCACTCGCTCACTGTCTTCCAGGTTTGTTACGTGGCAGCCTGTGTGGGAGCGCCACGCCTCTCGTATGGCTGAATAGTGTTCTACTGCACAGATACTTCCCGGAAAGCACCTTTTATTCATCTGCTCATCAGCTGATGGACACTTGAGTTGTTCCACTTTTTGACTACTGTGAATATGTTGCTACAAATGCTCACATAAAAATACCTGTTTGACCCCGGTTTTCAATTCTTTGGGGGTGCGGACCTTGTACTAGCATTGCTGGGTCATATGGTAATGCTACATTTAACCTTTGGGGAACCACCAGACTATCTTCTGTAATCACTGTAATGGTGCCTATTCTAATAAAAACCATTTTTTCAAAAAAGATCATGTAGTAATTAGCATAAGGCTGTGGAGACGCCCCCGAGCCCTTCTCTATCCCATGCCCAGACACCCTTTGCTCACTGAGCTGCTTATGTAGACAAGACACTCAGCACCTGACGGTCTCCAGAGACAAGGCTGCTCCCCTTTTAGCAGGAAGAAAATCAGGCACAAAGGACACTTGTTCTCTGCCTCACAACCCCCCTGTAGGGCAGTGCTCTCCTGCCTGGTGGCCCCGGGAAGGAGCAGGCTCCCTGTTTTGCTGTGGCCCTCACTCACTCTGCTGCTCCCTGTCAGGATTCCTCCTCTCTGGTGGGTCTGAGCTTAGTGGTGAAGAGCTGGTTACCACTTGTAGTGGGTTGGACAGAATCTTTCCAAGATGTGGACCTACAAAGTCCATTCAGAACCTCTGAGTGTGACCTTACTTGGACCTAGTTTTCGCAGGTGTAATCAGTTAAGGATCTTGACATGACCTGGATTTATGAGGACCCTATATCCAGTGACTGGTGTCCTTAGGAGAGGAGAAGGTGCAGGGGAGGCAGGGAGCAGGGAGGCAGAGACTGGAGTGTTGGGCCACAGCCCAGGAACATCAGGGATTGCCAGAGCCGGCAGATGGGGAGCAGTCCTGGACCGGATCCTCCCCCAGAGCCCACACAGGACGCAACTTGCCAACACCTTGATTTCTGTGGCCTCCAGAACCACGTGAGAGTACGTTCCGTCAGTGTGAGCCACCCCCTTTGTGGTAATTGTGTGGCGGCTATAGAAATTGGTGCAAACCAGAAAAAGTAAGTTCCGCTGCTCTGCCTTCCGTCCCACCTGGAAGAGCTTCTTCATTCCACATTCCTCCCAGACGCCCAGGAAGGCCCAGGAATGCCTCAGGACCCGGTGATGAGGGAAGGGGCTGCCCCTGCACCTGTCAAGTCCCTCTAAGGAGGGTACAGAGCCTGAACAGACCCCTGCACTCTGCCTGCGGAGCTCTGCAGCCCTGGACTGGGCTGGGCCTGACCTGTTGGAGTCCAGATCCCCAGCCCATGCCAGGGACATCCCACACCCAGGGACATCCCACGGGTCAGGTGCTCATCCCAGGGACCTCCATAGCCCACACTCTCCATCCCATCTGCTGTCTGGAGAAGGGGTCCTCACTGTGGAGCCATCCTTCAGGGGGTCCCAGAGCAACGTGCAGTCTGTGTCCAGTGCAGGCAACACTCCACTTACTGGACTGAACACTGAAGCTGAGCTTGGCCCTTGGTGTGACTGGAGGGGGTGTTTGCTGGGACGACGGTGACGTGGGGGACACTGAGAAGCGCCTTTCACTTCCAATGATGCTAATCACCTGGCTCTTCGGTCTCTGTGGTCGCAGGGGACTTATCTACATTGGAGGAACAGGAAAAGCACAGTTAGGCCTGCAATGGACCGAGTCGTCTCCCCGCCAAATTCCTATGCTGCAGTCCTAGCCCCCAGAGCCCAGAACATGTATCTGAAAACAGGGTCTTTAGAACTGATCCAGGTAGACAATGTCCTTAGGTGGACCCTCGTGCAATACGACTGGTCCTTATAAAACAGGGAAAGTGTCATGGGAAGACTTAAGCAGAGGTGGCTGATGTTTTTACACCAAGGACCACCAAGGATACTGGCAAACCACCAGAACTAGGGGAAGGTGAGGACCGAATTCTCCTTCACAGCCACAGAAGGAAGCAACCCCATAGCACCTTGATCTTGGACTTCAGCCCTCAGAACTGGGGAAAACAGACTTCTGTTGCCTGAGCCACCCCTACCCCACACCCCCCCACACAGAGCCTTGTTCCGCAGCCCACCCCACAACACTCACGCTCATCTATTGTCCCCCTGCACTGCACAGCCGTCTGGAACAGAATGTCCCAGTGCAGCACGGTGAGCCACTCAGATGCCGAGTGAGACACCCAGGGCGCCTCCAAGGGTCAGGAAGGGACCAAGCCCAGCAGCTTCCTGCGGGCTTTCTGCTTTCCCTTCCTTTGTTTCTCTCCTGCTGCACCACCAGGAATTCTGTTCCTCTCCCCTTCCTGCTCATTCCCGACTTCTGGATGCACTTGACTTCTCCCCACCTGAGCCCTTCCCTGTGTTTGTTGCATCAGTAAATTTAATTTATATATTTCTTACAACTGTTCGCAGATCATTAGGCCTCAGGGAACATGAGCAATTACAAAATACTCTATGGAAGGAGTAATCAGAAAAGTTATTAACCCCGCCGAACAGCAGGAGTGGAGACTGTTCCCCAGGAAGGGTGGGCAGATGGGGCTCTGGGCTTGTTGCAGCCTGATCCAGGAGCCTGGTGGGTGGGCCGAGCTGGTTCAGGCACTCAAGAGCAGGTAGGCTGCAATATCTGCCCCAGAAGAGCCATCAAGGCCAGTGCCAGTCTGGAGGTTAGGAGGCTGGCGGGAGGGGGCTGGGCCCGGGAAGGGGTAGCCCATCTGGTAATGAGCAATCCATTTTAGAACCACCTGTGGCCATGGGGGCCATGCCCAGGTGTCACCCATCCTCTGCAAGAAGGCCAAGTCTGGCAGCCTCCCTGCTAGAGGAACTGGGAGAGGCCTGGGCACGTGGGTGGACATGCACACTGTCACGAGCTCCTCCCACTCCTCCCTGCCCATCCCACAGTGGGCACATTCTGAGTCAGGGAGTGCAAGGAGGCTTTATGGGGAGATGCTGATGGCAGTCAGGAGGTCCAGCTCAGAGAGGCTCAAGTAAAGGTCATGAAATTATTGATGTTTCAGATCAAGGTGGGCCCAGCCCCAAGGAGTGAGGAGGAAACCTTTGCAGAAGCTGGGGAGGCCCATGGGGATGGGGAGGGCACTGGCAACCTTAGGAGCCCAGGGAGCAGTAGGGGGCACTGGGGTCACCCAGGAAGGAACTGCAGCTTCTCCCCAGTCAAGCACCCTCCAAGGCAGCCCTGGCCCTCCTTCCCCGCCTTCCCTGGAGCCCAGCTGTCCTTGCAGACCTTGCCAGCACCTGTGCCTTGGAGAGGAGGCCCCTCGTGCACAGACACCTAGCTGGACTGCTTACTGTCAGGATTCCTGGCCTCCTGGTGCTGCAGCCATGGTCAGTCTGAACCTTGGTCAGATGCTAACTGTGAGGTCAGGGTTCTGTGCTCTGACCCTGCTGGGTTCCTGTGGATCTGCTCAGGGTGCCTACAGCCACTGTGGGAGGCCCTCGTGCTGTTGCACCTGGCCCCGTGTTTGCAGGTGTCCTCGAAGGTGCACCATCAGGAGGGATGGAAACCTCACTGCGGAGGCACAGCACCCTGAGTCCTGGGACTCTGCATACACCTGGATGGTGCAACTCTGCACACAGCTCCCCTTCAGAGGCCTTCTGTTCATGGAGCTTGAGTAAAAACACATGAGACTCGTACAGTGGAGATCTGGGCCTGCTAGGGGCACTGGTACCCCAGCTTTCCAGGACAGTGGACAGAGAACACAGGGACAGTTCATCAGAAACGTCACTGTCTTCTTTGTGTGTGTGTGTGTGTGCAGTGCTGTAGATTAAACTCAGTGGCTCTCTACCACTGAGCTACATGTACTTATTTTGGGGCAGAGTCTTCCTAAGTTGACCAGGCTGGCCTCAAACTTGTGATCCTCCTGCCTCAGCCTCCTCAGCACTGGCATCAGAAATCTCTAAGTCTCGATGCTTGACCCCAGTGCCAGGGCTAGCCTCGGCCAGTGCCTCCTGAGTTGAAGTTCTTGGCCAGTTGCCTGCGTCACTGAGACACTGTAGCCTAGCAGCAGTCAGAGCACAGTCCACAGGCTTCAGAGGGTGCGTGCCTTCCTAAGCCACGTCAAGGCTCAGGCCTCTCTGTCTTGTGCCTCCAGACAGGCAAGCAGCATGTGACTGCAGTTGGAGATGGACATTATTCTCTGGTGGTTGAGACACAAACAAGCGGGTAAGTATGTCTGATTAAAGTTTTAGTCCCTTCTGAGCCCTTTGATGAGGCAACCTTTTAATCACAGCCAAGACAGAGCTGGCTGGGTCAGGAGCCACCCAGGAAGATGACTATTGGCCGCTGAGAGGCGAATGCCCATCTGTCTTCAGGGGAAGGTGGCTGCAAGCCCGACCTCGTCTTCAAACTGACAGCCTGTGAGACCGTCTCTTGATTTTCATTCTGCTCCCCAAACAGCACTTTCTGAAGCAGTCTGGGCCTGATTTTTTTCACTTGGATCCCAAAGACTGTGGTGTGCTTCTGGGAGGCACAGCCCCAGCCTGCCCAGGAGAGCAGGCCCTGTGGATGTCATGGCCTGGAATGGAGGGCACTCACTGGGATCTGCACATGTCCTACTAAGTCCCAGCAAATCCTTATCAATGATGGTCGAGAGATTTTGCATGTGGAGTAGAAGAGGTGGGAGGATAACAGGAGCACAGGTCAGCTGGTGGAACCCAGAAGACAGAGACTTCTGGGTTCTGGCTCAGTGAATTGCAGCTCTCGGGCATAACCATGGCTTAGAGATTTCTGGTCAGGAAGGGGCATGGGAGAGGCACTAGCTGACATGCAGCAGGCCTTTCTGACAGCAAGAGCAAGCCTGCACCTCTGCTGGGATACCAGGACGCACAGGGGAACCAAGTCCAACAGCAGGACAAAGAGCCTAGGAACGCCAGGGCCCTGCTGGAGACCACCCACCTGAGCCCCTTCAGGACGGAGGAGAAGGAAAGAGGCCTCGCCTCTGGCCTTCCGATGGCCTACCGGGTAAGTTATTCATGGTTAGGGTTGAGGGGGACCCGAGGTTCTCCAGTCTACAGTCCCATCAACTACGTGAGGAGCGAGGCAGGTCCAGATCCCCTGCAGAACGAGGAAAGAGCCCGGCACATTACCGTTTCCGAGAGGATCACGGCCTCCGACTGCTGCAGGGCGATGTCGGTGGGTCTGAATTCCTTGTCGAATGTCTCCTGGTGCTTGCTGTTCCGCTTTTCCTTCTTTTTGTCCTTCTTCTCCTTCTCTGGGTCGTCCTTGTCCAGCTTGTCCTGGGACCTGGAGTGCATTTTCTTTGGCAGCAGAGGCTCCAGGGCAAACCTAAAAGGAAGAATTCTGGGAATCTAAGAGGTCTCCCAGGAGAGCGGTGGCTCCTCCCCTGCAGGGTCTGCAAGGCCACTCACAGGCACGGGGGGCAGAAGGCCTGCAGGCTTCCAGGAGGAGAGGAGTGACCGCAAAGAGAGGCTAGGAGAGTCAGACCCTGGTCGCCCAGCGTGAGCACCGTCCGTGATCCCAGGGAAGCAAAAGACAGAAAGGAACACTCAGAGGGCACGGGGAAATGTGACGACGGGTGGACATTCTACAATGACCTTGAGAACTTTTGTTGATTTATGATGGTATTCTGGGTATACTTAGAAATTCCTGATATATTTACAAATACAACAAGGAAAAATATGCAGATGCCAATGAGAAGAAATTTCTGGTAGCTTACTTCTGACCAAGTTTCTCTGATGATAGATTATAGGGGTGGCTTCTAGGTACAAGCCCTTTGGATGGCTCAGTGGGAATTCTAGCTCACAGATGCTTGGAGGTGCCCCTGAGTTTTCAGCCACAAGTGAGCCAGGGACCAAAGACCAGGATCTGAGCCTGGTACCTGCTCGTGGGCCTTGACATCTTGTGACTTTATGCTACAGGTCTCATGTTCTCATGAAGGGACTGAGGTTGGTGTCAAGTCCCATTGGTGGTTACTGCGTAAGTGGCTCTTGTGCTAGTTTGTAAGGCACATGGCCCAGGGCTAGAAAGCACACCACGACACACAGCTGCTCCCCTGCATATGGCTGTCTCAGCACATGCCCACCGGGTTCTTCCTCCTAGCAAGTCACAACAGGAAGGAGAGAAATGGGTGCCATGCTAAGATGGGAATCTCCCTGACCTGCAGCTTCTGCTTGAGAAAGGAGTGGGGAGAGAGGGCCAAAATGGTCAAAAGCATGAAAACACCTGAAGAACTTACAGCACAATCTATAGGCAAGGTCTTATTACTACTGGCACATTCTGTTGTCAAAATATAGCACATGGAAAATAGCACTTAAAAAGATGTGTGACTGGGGCTGGGTTGAGGCTCCGTGGCAGAGCCTTGCATGTGTGAGGTACTGGGTTCAATTCTCAGCACCACATAAAGATAAATAAAATAAGGTCCATCATCAACTAAAAAACAAATTTAAAAAAATGTGTGATCTCTTAAAGGAATTATACTCCACCAGTCACATGGGAAAGAGCCTGTATTCTGATTTCTGACAAACATGTCCCCCACAACATTTTTTTATTGGTGCATGATAATTGTACATCAAGCATGTCTTTTTAAACTGTGGTCTCCACATCAGCTCCACATGGTCAGGAGGAGGTCCATACTTTAGGTGCCCAAGGTCCAGGTGGTCTCCAAGCCATGTGGAAGGGCAAAATCCAAGCCCTGCAGTGCGGCCCAGCCAGACCCCGAGCTGGGCCTTGGCGCTCTCCACCCTCACAGCAACTTCCACACCTGACTGCCTCCACCTTGCAGAATCCACTGACTCCTTCAAGGGGACAGTGGTTTCACGAGGAGGGAACTGAGAAAGCTGGTCACTGTTTTGTCTTAGTTGTGCTTTCTCTTAAACTTATTCTGATCAGGACAGTTGGAACAAAGCCACGGCAGCAACCCCAGCCCGGCTCCCCCACGTGGAATGTGACCCTTGGAAAGCAATCCTCCGATGGGTACTCACAAAACTGCACTTAAAGTCCACTGAAGACACAGATGCAGAGGCAGAGAGCAAGAATCACACCTCCTGCATCTTGATCTTCCCTCCTGACAGGGCTATGCAGTAGGGTCTGTTGATAAGGTGTGTCTAACAGGAATGGTGTTGGCCTGGTGTTGACTGTAGCTGTTAACATCACCAAAACAGAGAAACCTGCTCTGATGTGCTGAATGGAAGAACATGCAGCTGTGAAGCCCTCTGGACCAGCATGCAGGAAAGTGGAGGACACAGATACATGTCAACAGCCCTGCAGGGCACGCAACCAGCAAAGGGACACAATAGGATGTGGCACCTTGACCCTTCAACGAGTAAATTACAAGGAAGAAAAAAATTTAAGTGGATTAAGAGAGACATAAAGAGTTAATAGCAACCAAATGCAAGTTAAGGACCTGCTTTGCTCTTATTTCAAAAAATGTTTATGACAACGAGAAATGAACACTGTTTCCTGATAATATGGAATTCCTGTTAATGTTCTGTGTGGTCATGAAGTGACATAGTTTTATTTGCTAAAAAGGAGTCCTTACCTTTTAAAACTTCAAATTGGAATGTCTGTGAATAAAATATGATTTTTGAAATTTACTGCAAAATCAAGTATATGGTGGGAGTGGGTAGGTCCAGATGGGAACAAGAGCGTGAAGGGGTGGGTAATTGTTGAGGCTGGCTGATGAAGGGGTGGGGCTTATTATACTATTCTGCCTCCTTTGTATATGTCTGAATATATTCCATAATAAAAAGTTTAAAAAATTAAAAACTTTTGATGAAATATACCAACATTCACTTTAATCCTGAAAGCATTTTGAGACACCTGGCTTTGCAGCAGGATACATATTAACCAATAAATCTACAGCTATTGGTGTTAAATATGATATCTAATACATTACAAGCAACATCAAAATCTTCACGATTTTGTTCCAGGTTTTGCAGAACTTGAGACAATTAAATGAGCACGAAAGGATAGTGGACGACTTCCTGCTGAGGAAGAGAACTATGCTGTGCAGTTCCAATGGTACACACACACACACACACACAAACAAAAAAAAAACCCAAGAGAAAGACAGGTGGTTTTAGATTTTCCACATTATGAGAAGCAACTGCTGGCAGGGCGAGCTTTATTCTGCATGGAACCTGTGCCATTCGAGACCAAACCTCATTTTCGCCATGTTAGTTAGATAGTGGAGGATGGTAATTCCAAGAATGAACAAAAATCTGGACTCTAATAAAGATGAGTTCAAGGTTAAACAAATGCAGGCTGGGGTGGAGCCTAAAACTCCAAAGCCATTACCTACCTCACCCTGAGCGCTCAGAAATACAGACGGGTGAGTGCTCAGCAGGGGCCACCAGCCATTTCCTAACTAGCCTGGAGATTCTCTGGAAGATCAGCTGCATTTAATTTCTATATCAGTCTTGTTCTAAGTGACAGGCACACAAGATTTAAACCTCTCTAAATTGAGAATTTCCATATGGCTTTGGCCTTATAAATATCAGACACTGACTGATAAAAATTATTGTTCAGAAAAAATGTGGGTATAGCTTGGAATTCTCTCCTGGGCACATTAATCATTGGCAACAAAGAACACTTAAGGTTGAGCCGTCCCTGGGGATTCTCTGGAAGCATATGTGGGCACGGGAAGGGAGGCTGTGCTGGGTAGGGTGACTGGTTGCAAACTACATGGTTTCTCCTCAAAAACACACAAAAAGATCATCATTGAGGTCTTTGCAGTAATCTGAGGTAATTCAAAAGCCACAGTGTGTGCTCAGTGCTCTCTGGAGCAAGAATAGGTCTCCCCTGAGGTCTTGCAGAAAGAACGTGGCTCATAATGCCACTTATATGTGTTAGTAGCTGCTGGCAGGGAAGGGGAAGGGCGGAAAAGGAGTCTTAGTTAAGGATACAGTTTCAGTTTTATGAGATGAAAGTTCTAGAGGTGGGTGGTAGTGACAGCTGTCAATAATGTGAGTGCACTTGATGCCACTTAACCTCAAAATGGTGACACAGGGAGTTTTATGGTGTCTACCACCATAAAATAAATTGGGAAAACAAAGGATAATATGCTTCCTATTTTCCAGAACAGTCCTGGAAAGTACAGGACAGACAGATGATCATTCTCAGAAGTATTCAACTTAAACAGTATTTCCCCCAGACACACTTTTTTTTTTTTGTACCGGGGATTGAACTCAGGGGTACACAACCACTTAGCCACATCCCAGCCCTATTTTGTATTTTATTTAGAGACAGGGTCTCACTGAGTTGCTTAGCTCCTCGCTAAGTTGCTGACGCTGGCTTGAACAGAGATACTCCTGCCTCAGCCTCCAGAGCCACTGGGATTTCAGGTGTGCACCTCCCTGCCCGGCTGCATTCCCTTTAAAATAAACTCATCAGAAACAAAAGTGAATCTATAAAGTTCTTCTCTCCAAAATAAAAGGAGGCTACACGCCACTTGTCATGTGAGCCTCACCGAGTGCCAGCCAGCTTGGTGGGCAAGCGGAGGCTGCTCCAGGCTGGACCACACCAGCCAGGCCCTGGGGACGACCTGGAGGTGAGTGTGAGATGAAGAGGGCCCGCACACTGCGGCAGCATGCTGCTCCCCAGGCTCGCCCAGGAGGACGCCACCCATCTGACGGTTTGAGGTTTGATGGGAACCTTGCTCCAAGGGCCAGCTGAAGTGAGGACCCCTTCCCAACCACCACAAGACCCTGAAAGCCATGTTGGCACGATGGCCATAGTGTCCGGAGGGGCTGTTTCAAAGAGAGAACCCACTGAGCAAAAGTCCTCTGTGTGATAAACACCCAGGGGCTGGTGGCCCCTGCTGAGCACTCACCCGTCGGAGCCCGGCCTGGAAGGGGTGCTGTCGGAAGAGAGCGAAGAGACAGACGCCACAGACAGGGGCCGGGAGGAGGAGGGCATGGTGAAGGACCGCACCATGGACCGGGGACGGCTGCCTCTTCTGTCGTCCAGACTTGAGGGCTGAGAGAGACAGAGACGGAGGTGTGTGACGCCCAGGCCTGCCACGGCCAGACAGCTGCGTGGCCTCTGGACCCCAAGGGCCCACACTTTTGTTAACCGTCACCTGTTCTGAACTGAGGAGGAAAATGATGATTATCTGAAAACTGACCCAACGTAAAAAATACCAGAGAGAACATTCTTGGTCTTTCCATTTCAAACTCAGTCTTCTTTCCTGAGACGGAGACGTACCAACCTGCTCCACAGAATGCACAGAGCAGAAAGTGTAGCGTAAAGAGACACCAGATTAAAGAATGGCGGTCTCTGGGTGAACTCTGCACATCTCTGCATGTCCACACAGGACTTCTCTAGCTACAGAAAGAGGCTCCTGCCTCTGGCTCCAAGGTGGATTTCCTCCTGTGAGTGATGGGGCAGGAATTAGAGGAAGCCACGGCCTGAGTTGCGGAGGCTCCTCCTCATGGCTAAACAGAGGACGGACGCTCTGGGAAGACGGTCTCTGCGTGGAATTGTGCACTCCCTTGGCATCTTGTTCAGCACAGAAAGAACCCGGCGTCACTGAGCACAGCAGGTGCCCACCTCTGATGAGCCAGGAAGGGCTCGTGTGCCTGCATCCTGAGCCAGACGCTGGCACATCGGGGGCTGCAGCTGCTGCACAAACACTTCAACCTGAGGACACGGAGCCACTCTCCTGGAGGCCATGTCCTCCTGCCACTTCAGCCTCCCGCCCTGCCACCCTGCCCATGCCACACCTCGTTCAGCTCGTCACTTACAGGTGACCTGGGCTGGACCCTGGTTCCGGCCCTCAGGAGGGAAGGCTGGGTCTGTTTCTCAACATGTGATTCCAAATAAAATATTATTTGACTTTAAAGCTCCTTCCCAACAGCAAAAAGTTCAGAACAACAAGAGGGTAGGCCTTGGCTAACGTTTCCTTAAAGGACCAGATAACAAGTGTTCAGGGTGTGCAGCCCCAAGGCCTCTATCAAAGCCAGTGCACTCGGCCATGACGGCACGAAGGTGGCCGCAAACGAGACAGAGATGAGTGTGGCCTGTGCCAACAGAGCCGGACTCACAAAAGCAGGCTGCAGGCCACAGTCTGACCACCACTGGTCCAAAGCGGCTGCAGCTAGAATGTGGCAACAGAGAGCCTCCTGCAGTAGCCCCATGATGGAGCCAGTGGACATCTCCATGGAGATGTCCCTCGTAACCGATCAGCCTCTCTGTGGAAACTAGGAACAGTACCTATAGATTATTCCCAAGGTGAAAAGGTTCCCCTACTCAACCTGGGGGCTCGGCGCTGTCACCCCTCCTTTTCACAGCCTTTCTGTAGCCCCTGGATCCTCTGTCCCTGGAGGCTTTCCCCCTCAGCCTCTTGGCTGGACCCAGAGACCTGGTTTTGTGTCCTTGCTATTCCCAATGATCCAGGAAACAGCTCTGTCAGCGACTCCAGGTCTCCCGGGGGCACTCACTGGTCACCCGGGCACAATCCCGCCCACCAGGCCCTTGCCTCTTCTCTCTGCCATCTCCAGGGCCGTGACCCTCTTCACGTTTGAGTGAGATTTGCTGGCAGCCACAATCTTTCCCTGGCCATTTCTTCCACAGTGCAGGGGTGGGTGGGCTTGAGAAGGTGGCTTCTGGACACCCACGGCCACCCCATGACTGTGTAGCAGCTGCCTTCCTGCCTGCCCTGGAACATACTCTGCGTTGACTTCCACACAGTCCCCTTAGGATGCAGGTGGGGGAGAAGGAAGAGTCAGCGGCCACAGACCCAGGTGAGTCTCTGTGGCCTGGAGGGGGCCGCCTTTGTGCCCGAGCACCTGCTGGACAAGGGGAGGAGCATGCCCGGGAGATGCTGCTGAGCTGAAGTCGGGGACTCGGCCTGGGGTGCTGGAGCCAGGAGCACCCACACACCAGCTGACACATCACCAGGGGAGTGGTCTTCACAGTGGCCACAAGGACCTGGACAGTGGGCAGGTGGTGGTCAGTCAGAGGCCAGGAGGTGGAGGCACCCAGTGAGGACAGCCCAACCTAGTTCTTGGGAGGGTCAGAAGGCAGCCTGGAACCTCCCACCACCAACCACCAAGGGCTGGCCATGCCCTTGGAAGGTGACCTGGAGCCTGTTGGGATGTGAGCACGCACTGCGATGGATAAATGAAGGAGGACGGGGCAGGGGCGGGGGCCACTCCTGGGTTCCCACACTTTGGCACCCCACAGGGTAGCTGTGGCTTTACTAGGTCACTTGCTTAACAATGTCTTCTTGATTGAGCAGAGACTCTAGAAAATGGGGAAAAGGACTTTCATTTGACTCATCTGAAGCAATTAGAGCATCGCCCGGTTCTGACAGGTATAGCTCCAGGGCCAGGACAACCCGAGTGGACCGTTATCTGCATGTCCCAGGAGTGGGGGAACCAGAACAGGGTGGACTTGTGACTCTGGCCCTGACAGCATGACCTTGCATAAAATAAGGAGGCCCTGTGAGCCTTAGTGTCCTCCTGAGCACCAAGGGAATCATCCTCCCACCTCCAGCAGGGTGAGGATCGATGGATGGTGCAGATGGAGGCTGCTGGCCCAGCACAAGTGGCAGCCACCGCCTCGTCCTTGCTGCTGGCACTTTCTGGCCTGAAGCAAACACTCATTTCAGCTGTCTTGGCAGGAGCAATCCTCTGGCCCTGCCCCGTGCCTCTGAGTTCTGCACGGTTACCTCCCAGCAGGACTGGAATACCCAACCTGACCACAGGAGCTGACTGCCCACTGAGTCACGGATTGGGGAGGGGTGCATTGGCAGAATTTAATCAAGGTGACCAGTGCTTCCGGAGAAGCAGGCATGTTTCATGGTTTCCTGAAAATGCTTCTTTCCACATGTGACTCAACTCTGAGCTTGGGCTGGACCCAGAGGGTAACATGCTAGTCCCTGGGAGGGGAGGCAGGGGCCTGTGATGCCAAGGCAGCGGGGGCACCCCAGCAGCACTCCAGTAGTGATGCCACTAGAGCTGGTCTGGGGGGTTCTGACTTACTGGGCAAGGTGTGCTGGCGGCCAGGCCGGGGAGGGGACAACAGGGTTGCCTGGAGGCCTCCATGGTGGGTTTTTTGGAGGAGGCTGGAGAGATGGGGTCTGGAGGTCCTGAGTGGCACCTGCCCCCTGTGGTGGTTAAGGTGAGGAGGGGGATGGAGCTGAGTGGGTGGAGAGAGGGAGGAGACTGGCAAGGTCCCCTGCACCAGATTTGAAGGCAGAGGCAGAGGACAGGATGAGAAATGCAGAAGTTTTCACTGGCACAAAGGCAAACCTGGGCCCTACCCAGTGCTGAAAGCTGCTGGCATTCTTCCCCAGGCCCCTGGGCCTGTGGCTCGTCCTCGGAATGGTGGCCACTTAGAGCCCCAGGATTGGCAAGGTGAAGGCCAAAGCGCGGGGGCCAGAGGCCAGTGTATTATGAGTCAGAGGGTGTCCAAATCTCTTCCTGAGGCTTAGGCTGGCTCACAGAAATTGACAGAATGGTTTATGTGCTTTCTTTGGTTTTTTTATTTTTAAATCCATCCTTTTGGAAGCAGGATGGTACCATATTGTTTTCTGAGTTGCTTGCAAGCTTCAAAGCCAGCTAAGACGGGAAGGACACATTCCAAATTGCTTTTATTGTTGCATTTCTCAGTGAATGACAGGCCACGGGCCTGACCCTTTGCCTGCTCAGAGAAGGCTGGCTGCAGGGCATCCTCTGGAGATCCAGGGCCCAGGACCCAGGAAGGCAGCTCCTAGGGTCATAGCATCTAAGGGAGGGAAGCACACCCTAAATTCTGCCCTGGATCCCCCTCCCAGCAAGCATCAGGGACCCTGGCCAGAGGCCCTGGCTGACCCACAGAGGGCAGGTTTGGTGAGGATGATGTTGACTGAGTGTGGTGGGAATCGCTAACCTTCAGCTAAGGGCAGCTGCCTGGAGCAGAGGACACCTGTCCTCAGGTAGGGAGCCAGTTCTTCTGCACATCACCCCCACCTCTTACTCTTGCTCTTCCCCACTGTGACCTATAGCAAGCTCACTCAGAGATAATGGTGACTGCAGAGACAGAGGTATGGAAAGTGCATGGTGAGTTTGACACTTTTCTGTAGTTTTGAAATATGCATAAAATGGTTGATGAAACAGGAAGCTTTTCACTTGGTAAGAAACTTTGAGAATACACAAGTGTTTATTTCTTAGAAAGAATTAAAAGTGGCATCAAATTTTGAAAGAGCTGCCTTCTGATGCACTCTGAAACTCTCCTTGCCACTCCACTCTGATTGCAATGAGCTGCCAGCTCCCAAGCTATCAAGCACTACTCAAGGATTCTGACTTGCAGGAAGGGTCCTCCAGCACTGCAGAGAGCCCTGGTTTCCAAGCCTGTTTACCTGCGGGGGCTCCCGCTGGGCTGTCAGTCCCAGCTTCCCACCTGCTGGGTTTTCGGAGCCCAACCTGCAGTGTGTCATTGTTGGCTCACAGGCTCAAACCCTGTTGGGCCCAGGAATAAGAACACTCTCATCTGTTGAACATCAGGCCCTGGCTTGAAGACGCAGGGCTCAGTCATGCCCGGCAGGGACTCATCTACAGAAATGAAACCGCACAGTTTTTTTGCATCATTAAAAACCTCAACTGCTCTTCTATTGTGCCCCTGACCCCAGCCCCTTTTATGAACTCATCACAAAAGTGCTTTTCGGCCCCCATCACAGCAGTCTCCTGCCCCCAACTGCCCAGGCTCTTGGAGGCAGAGTGATTTTCCAGCTGCTGCCCTTGATTTCTCTTCTGCCCAAGGAGTGCCTGCGTCCGTTGGCCTGCCATTCAATCCCTGCCTCCTTCTTGGCCTGGGTCATTTCCACTTCCTCCCATGGGTGAGTCTTTGCAATAATTTCAAACATCCGTAGTCTACCACTTTTGCCTTCATGGCTACAGTAGAGGCTTTGACCTTGGACTGGGTCCGCTCCACCAGTGTTTTGAGATGTCATGCCCCAAGGGTTAGTTAGTCCTGTGTCTCCTGTGCCTGTGGGAATGGGCTCTGTCAGCCAGCCAAGCCACATGGCCTCTGTGAAACTTCTCCCTGGCTCCTTGACACCAAGGGTAGACGGTGTTTAGAATAGGTAAACAGGGCATCTGGAGGTCAAGCAAGTCCAGGAGTTTTGCCTCACACTGACATTTCCAGCTATTGAAGGGAGGTTGCTGGGTGGCCAACTAATGGGCCAAGGGGCTGAGCTCCCTCCAATCCCACCACCTATGTGGGCATCACCTGCTCCTGTCAGCTCCCCTGTGCCCCAAGCCCATCACCTTCTCCTGGACTCCGGACACCCCTTCTGAGACACTGCCCACTTACCATGGTGCGGACGCCATACTGCTTTTCCACTTTTTCTTTCAGCTGCTTGAAACAGGCTTCCATTCTCTCATGAAACGGCCTCAGTGCCTCTGTGACTTTGTCTCCATGAATCCTGATCCCTTCGGCCAAAAATGGAATCTGAAAAACACAGAAGGTGATGTTTGTTCTCTCCTTATTTCTTGGTTAATGGTCTAGAGAGAGCAATGCACCCCAGCAGAGACTGGAGCCGGCTGAAATGCACCTGCTGGCTTCCAGATCAAAGTGACTGGTTACTCACCAGCAGGCCACTTCCCCCAAAGACTGATTTTCAAATGAAAAGCACTTGGGTCCCCACTGGAGGTGTCCAGTGGGCTCCTGAATGCTGAGGCCCACCACTCTCAGAACAGACTTCCCCATTCACCTTCCTGGAGTTTTGGAAGAGCTGCACTTTGAATGTTTAGATGTAACTTGTTCTGTAGGCAAAGGGTCATGTTAGAGCATAAACATTTTTAAGGTAAGAATATCGCCTTTATAGGCAGTTGAGAACCTTACTCCAAAACACAAAAATCTAATTATGTGTGATCTATAGTCCTGAAGGATATTCTTGTTTGGAAAGGAAAACTAAATTCATCCTTCCTTAAAACTAAAAATAATCGCTTCTCTGCCGACACTGCTGTCACAAGATATCCACGCCAACACTTCACTTCCAAGCGGGGAGATGACGCTGACCTTTAGAAGCGTCACAAGAGACATTTTCATTCTTCCAGCTGCAGAGACCCCAGAGTCTCTGTGGAGGTAAACCCAGGAACAGCCTCCCTTTCTGTCCCTGGCCACTGCTCCCGGCCCAGTGCTTGGACTGGGAATCAGACATTCTTCAATGCAATCAAACTAAGAGGCTTCCTCTTAATAATTACAATTAAATCAAAAAACTGATTAAAAACAGATTTCCTAATATGACAGAAGACCTATCTGTACCAGCAGATTTATTAGTAAGAGGGATAATAAGTACACAATTGAATTTCATGTGAACAAATTCAAGACACCCTATCAAGATGAATCAACGCATGAAATGTATTGGGTTGCCATTTTTAGCCCGCAGCTGCTGCCTCTCTTGGTATCCAGGAAAGGGGGAACGAGTGAACCCCCACCTTGTTCCAGCGTACCCAGCCTGCTCTGGGGCTGCACTGGCACAGAAGTTGGTTTTGCTGACAGTTGGGCCTAAACCTAGGGCACATGCCAGATATCCCTTTCTGGCCAGTTAGCACCGAAAGGACGGTGTGCAGGTGAGACTTTAAAATAGATGGGACGTTTTAATATTCCATGTGAATTCCTCACACAGATGGCAGCCTCCCTGGGGCTAGCCACAGTTTATTCAGGACCAGCAGCAGAAAGTGCTCACTGTATTCCTTCTGCTTCCTGAGCTCTGCCTTGGGAGATGACAAAGGCAGGCTGAGACCACTTTGGTGGCACAGTGAATGTGTCCATCAGGGTGTCGAGGCAAACGTGTGCTGGAAGGCCACCTCAAGGAGAAAGCACAGCCATCCTAGATACGGAAAGCATTTTTTATTTAGAATGGCCTTTCTTAAGTGTGAAAAATGCAATCTAATCATTTCTGTGTTTTGATGTGTTCTGTCAGCATGATAAAACTCTTAATTGGTCAGATTCTTTACATCACAGGAGCCGCTTGCTGGAGTAGAGCTGAGGATACTTGGATGGGCGCTGGGACCATCTGAACTGTAATTTGGAGGTGAAACTTACAATGTGCAAGAATTCATGGTTCTCAACAATCTGTGACCGTGACCGGAAAAGACCTTCCTAGAGGGTAGGATATGGTCCCCGGGGTCTGAGTATCTGGGGCTGAACTGAAACTGTGATGTGATTCGAAATGAAAGAAAACAGAAAACTGTCCTGTGCATATACCCTCCAATATATGAGGTGCTTCATCGACACAGAGAAGACATAGATGCCGACTTGAAATGGTCTTTAGAGACACTTAAGTGCTCAGCCTACAAAATATCTTAGAGTCATGACCTGCTGCAGGTGAACCTGGAGTCTGCATTTCTCCAGGGGTTCCCAGAACTCAGAGAGCAGAGAGTATGGTCCCAAAGTCACACCTCCAGTTGTTCCAAGTGAGCTTACAGTCTACTCTCAAGGCTGGCCTCCTAACGAGTGTGCTGCAATTGAAGTTTGGTCTCGTGTGTTCCCTGCATAGATGCCAGCCTTGCCGGCCGCATAGAATACCTAAAAGCCCTGCTCAGTGCTCCATGAGCACTGAGCCTGGGGATGATGAGGGAGTTTGGTCTCTCTTCTTCTGTACATTTCAAAAGAGCAATATGTTCACACATAGCAGTTTCACATAAGAGTGTCCAGATTCATCTCTGGACACTGAGCAATGACAGGTGTGTTCAGGGGAATACAGAGCTTTGACTTTGAAGAAGTGGCTCAGGACTGGGTGTCAGCTGCAAACCTGGAAGAGACTGCAGGTAGCCCTGCCTCTTGTGTGGTAAGGAGCAGCCAGCACTGTCCTCTGCTTTAGAGACAGTAAGCAGGAGCCCCTGAGGCCGACTGGCCAGGCTTCCCTGTCGGCCTCGGAGATGAGCTTGTACATCAGCAATGGAAACTGGGCAAATGAGTCCCAGGGCTCCCAAGAGGACAGCCCTGCTCCACCTGCCAGAGCTTCAGGAAAACCCAAACCAAATGAACTAACAAACAAAAAGAGAACAAAGATCCTGATAACCCCAAAGTTCTTATTTTTAATGAACACATGACTCAATTACTGATATTAAGATATGCCTTTTCAAAACATTTGCAAATGAGAGCAAAATCACAGGTAATGTTTTGAATATGTATTTTTCTTCACTCTTTGATTTAATGAAGTTGCTAGAAAACGAATTCTTTCAACTTTCCTGTGAGCTGCTTTAAAATTCATCCTTTAATACAGTTATTAGGGGTGATGACAGAGGGCTGACATAAAGTTGCTCTCTGGGGAACAAATTATTTTCCTCTGTAGGACTTGAAACTCTTAAAATCCAATTTGCTGTAAAAGCTTACAGGGGTAAAAATCAATAGAACTTTTGCAGACCAAACTAGTTTTTGTGTTATAGCATTCAGAGTTTTGAATTTTGTATCCTTTAGTTTCTATGGCATCTAAAATGGAATCATTTGAAATTTAAAGTCCCACTTTTTAGTAACGGAGACTGCTCACATAAGGCTTACATTTCATGCAAAGAAACCAGCGTTGGCCACCAGTGCCCCTTCCCCTTCCTGTCACCTCAGAGGGATCTGATCACAAAATACTTCCCAGGCAAACGGATTTAAGGCACATACAGATTTATGACAGAGTCTAAGTATTTCCTTTTGAATGTAATCCTGTGTGTGTAGCTGAACACCCATAAAAATGGCTATTATAAAAAAAGAAAACAAATTAACAAATCTTGGTGAAGATTTGGAGAAATGAGGACCATGCATCATAGCTGGTGGGAATGTAAAATGATACACTCCCTGAAGGAAATCTGGCAATGACACAAAAAAAATTAAACAGAATTTTATAAGATCCATGAATTCTTGTTTTTTGTAGATGACACAAAGCATTGAAAGCAGGGACCGGCACAGGTATCTGTGCACTCATGTTCACAGCAGTGTGAGTTACACTAGCCACAGGCAGAAATAACCCAAAGGTTCATCAACAGATGATGGGTAAACAAATCCTGGTCTTTCCATGTAACGGAACATTGCTCAGCCCTCAAAAGAGGAAAATCCTGACACACGCCACAGCATGGATGGACTTTGAAGCCATCCTGCCCAGTGAGCCAAACCAGATGAAGAGGCAGATGCTGAAGGAGTACACTCAGGAGAAGTTCCCAAAGTTGTCAAATCCCATGGAGGCAGGAAACAGAATGAGGAGCACCCGGGGCTGGGGGAGGGGAGGGGGAGTCGTTTGATGGGGACAGAGTTTCAGTTTTGCAAGATGAAAAACGTACAGTTCAGTGCTGTTAAGTACCTTCACATTGTTGTACATCGGATGTGAAGGTACTTAACAGCACTGAACTGTATGTTTAAAAATGGCTAAGATATTGAATTTTGTAGAATTTATCACAGATTATATGCTTTATAAATACACATATGATGTGCATATATAAATATAAACGATCAGAATTATAAAAACAAGTCCAGCCTGTACATTTGAATGCAAATTAGGCAGACCTCTAACTCGGCTGAAACGGCTCAGCCTCACCACCCCATGTGTCTCCCTGGCCAATGTGCTGATGTCAGAGAGCCAGGAAGAGGAGACTTGCTGGGACAGTCAGGGTGAAAATGCCCAAGAGCTGTCTCCTCAGACGAACAGCCTTGCCCAATAAACTGCACAGATCTTCAGGCCCCAGCAGGGAGCTCAGGACCCCTAGTGTAGCCACATGGCCTGAACAACACCCCGCCCAAGAGGGGCAGGCCCCCCTCCATTTCCTCAGCCCGGCATGTGGGGTTCGGATCTGGTGAAGATGGGGACAGTCCCCTCCTCGCCTCCCACATGACAAGTGGGCAACCCAAGTGACAGGGCAAGTAGAGGTAGAGCTCCCCGAGAAGCACTCTGGACATCCCCGGGCCACGGAGCCAGGAGGGTCTGAGACACACAGGCACATGGAACTGAACACGAAGCACCCTCTGGGTTAGGTTACCCACCTTTAAGACAATGGCCCTCCCAAAGGGCTTGGGTAGCCTCAGGAGCATGAGCAGAAACAAAATACCATGCAGAATCTCCCCTGGGAAAACCTAACTGAGGACACCCCGCAGCCCAGAGCCTGCCTTGGGGCAGAGCGCAGCTTCGGCTACAGCTCCCAAGACTGCAGAGGCCGACACCTTTCCCGGGACAGGCTGCGGCAAAGGGCTTCGTGCCTCTAAGTCCTGGTTGATGTTAGAGAGATTTTCCAGCAGCTGGGATAACTAAGCAGGGGGTGGAAGAGACCTTGTTCATTTGCGAGAGAATTTTCTGGATGTTCAAGTTCATGAGTGCAGCCCGGGGTTGGGCCCATCATGCTGGCAGGCAGTGTGCAAGGGGCCCAGGAGACCTGAGCCTAGACCTGCTCCCCCGCCCCCCAGGCAGGCAAGGCCACCATTGCATACTCTACCTGCCAGGCAATCAGGTCCTTCAGCTTCTCGATCTGAGCCAGGGACTCGGGGTGCTCTTGCAGGTAGCGATCTGTGAAGAAGGCCTGCGGAGACAGACAGCCCTCAGTGCACCTCTCCTCCAACACGGAGGTGTGCACCTCTACCTCACACCAGGCCACAAACAGACCCTTGACCCTGCTCTCCCCAGCTCACTCCAGACCTTCCGTCACACTCTCCCCAGTCCCAAGGCAAAATGTTAAGGTGAAACTATAAATGGAGCACACGGGCCACCAATGGGCCATTCACAGCGATGCCCCAATGCTGAGTCCAGTCCAGCAAGGTCACAGCTGATTTAGGTCACCTGGCCAAGTTGGGGGAGATTGAACACCACCCAGCCAGCTGCACCTGTGTTCCCACCCTGCACCTGCTGCAGGCTGGGCACAACCTGAGGGATACAGAGCATTAGAGGAGTGCCACCTTTTCCTCTGGAGACAGTTCGCCACCCTCACAGCCCGCTCTCTGGCAGTGCACTGTCTGTTTTTCCTGGTCTAGATCAGAGGTCAACAAGCCTTTTGCATGGAGGGTCAGACGGTACACATTTTAGCCCCTGCAGGGGCTGCCTCTGCCTGGCCACAGCTCCATCACTGCTGAGGTTGTTCAGTGAGGCCAGGTAGTCTCGAGGTTTGGGGGAAAGTGTCTGGAAGGCACTTGGTGACCCCAGGCATGCCACATGCCTTCTCGTAATTGGTGAAGCCCCCCATGACAGCAGGGTCCACGATGCCATTCAGGAGCATAGACAGGGGGTTGACGGGCAGGCTGGGGTCGTCCAGGTGCTGCTGCACCATGCTGCTGATCTTGTCATTCGTTAGCTGCATGGTCTCAATGGCATTCTCCAGTGGGCTGATCTCCACCTGCAAGGAATAGAAGATTGTACCATGGCATGGCCACCTTCTCTGCCTGGGCCTCTCCAGAGGAGCATGGTGCCCAGTGGGGCAGGCTACCTCCTCTCCCATACACCATCTCACAAGAGATGGCTGGACGTGTGGTTGCTTGTGGCCCAGGCATGAGCAGCTGGGTATTCTATCATCACTGTTCATGGAACTCTCTTGTGGAAATTCCAAAGAAAGAAAGCAAGGCTGCCCGGCTGTAGTCACATATGGTCATCCCGGGAAAACACACAGCCCTGAGCAGTGCCTCAACACTACCCTAAAGGAGACCTTGAATGTGTTCTAGCTCTCTGCTTGTTCTAGAGTTGCCCTTCTAGAAACCTGCTGGCCCCTTTGGTTTGGGAAGGCAAAGGAGGGGCCTCCACACACCCCCATGTGGAAGATGAACGCTTGCAGTCTCATCTGGAAAGTCATCCTTGTAGTGGAGCCGTCCGCGCAGGAGGCAGGGGACAAGTCATTCCTCCTCCTGGGCTTGCTTCCCTCTCTCCCGCCTCTGTCCATCTCTGGAGTCCTGTCTGGCTGAACCCGAAGGTGCCCTAAGAGAGGCATGGTACGTGGCCCACACCGCCTACCAGGCCTTGTGCTCTCCCACTGAGGCTGGGCCATGGGACCCACGTCCAGATGGCCTCAGTCCCTGTGATCCTCCCAAAGGAGGTGTGATGGGCCCCAGCCATGTCCAGGGACTGGGGTGTCCCCAGCAAATGGCTAAGCAGAGCCTCCAGCATTCTTGCTGCAGCCTCTGGGGGATGCCTGAGGGGTGGGGAGAGGTGGCTGGGGAAGGGGAAGCAGAGAGGGCAGAGAACGGACAAGTGGGGATTGCCAGACTCTAGCACGACAATCCAGCGGCTGCAGAGGAAGTGGGCCACAGAGGCCGTCGCCTTGTCGATGTGCCCATCTGTGACGCGATACAGGGACCTGTGGTCGACCATGTGCACACTATTGAGGGTGGCCCTCGTCACATGCACTCTCAGGAAAGCCGTCCTCACCCATGTCAGACAGTGGAATGTCCCATCCTAGGAACATGACTTCTGGGGCAGGATGCCATTTAACTGGCTGCTCATCCCCAGTCTCTAAACCCATTTACCTCAAGAAAGAACGTTCCCTGTTTTCGTCAAACAGGCTAGCGGCTGCCCCTGCGAGGACGGGGTCTGTTCCCGGAGGCATGGCAGGGGAAGGGGTCTGCAGCAGGGTTCCAGTCCCATCACTCTGGGATTATTTGGCTTCCAGCCCTTTTAATCTGTTAAAAATGGCCAGCACAGACCGAGGAGCTATGTCCTCACAAAAGGTCAGGCTCCACTATCTCACGGGCAGAGGCTCACAAGAGGATGAGTGCTTGCTGCTCCTCTGTCCCATGGGGACCTTACCATCTCCAAACACCCCATGAAGCGGCTGTAGTTTTGCCCCCTGACCCCACTCGGCACAGCCCTCCATCTACCTGAGAGGACTGGAGAATAGAATGGGAGGTCCCAGAGCAGAAAGGGACAGTGTCTCCCAAGAGGGTAGGCAGAGAGCCTCGGAGGCCCAGCAGGAAGCCGGGGCTGCATCCTGGCAGCCTGCTGGGGGAGGGGGGTGGGTGGGAGGTCTGTCAGAGCAGGCAAATGCTCATGGAAGGACCTGGAGCTCAAGCCAGCCAGGCCAAAGGGGGATGGTGGACACAGGCTGGGCAGAAGGTTGCAGCCTCGTCCTAGAGCCAACAACCAGGTGCAAAATGGTGGCGAGTGCTACCCCAGGGCTGGGATCCTGCCGCATGAAGACACAGGAACAAAAACATTTCTCAGCCGGCACTTTTAAACTGGCATTGCCACAGCCCTGACATTTCCATGCAGTTAATAGATCTGCTGCTTCATGTAAATGAGGCTGTCCCATAGCTCACCATAAATGTAAGTTTCATGTAAATGAAGCTGTCCCAAAGCCATGCAGAGTTTAGTTAACGAGACGGGAACCATCCTTCCTTTAAAAACTGTAAGGGCCGGGTCTATTCTCAGGCTATTTTTACTTGAAATGAGCGAGTGCTATTAATTCAGTTGTTTGTCATGTAAATGGCAATAAAACCATCAAGAAGAAAGATTTTGTAAAAAGTTTATGTAAATTGGAACTTGTTTTAAACTTTTCATTTAGGGAAGGGAAAGAACTGTCAAAACAGCCCAGCTATGATTGAAATTAAATATTGAGAGGAGAAATGAGATCTTGGTCTGGTTTTCTTACAAAGAAAGCCAGTTCTTGGTTGTGTTTACACAGCTCTTCCACTAAGATACTGGGAGTGGGATGGGGCGAGGTGTCATGGACGCTCGGAGGAACATGCAGCGGGGCCACCTGCATTGCAGGGTCTGCCGTGGGCAGCCTGCCAGGAGGGTGTATCCGACCCTAGCTGGGAAGGGAATGGGATGATGGCTTCCAGGGTTTGTTCTTACCATGAAAACAGATTTGACTTCAAACCACCTTAAAATGCCAGGCAATTTATATGCTGTGGTGTATATAGTCCTCTCGATCCACATATTCTGCAAAAGGAACACAAAACATGTGTTAGGAGGCCATCAGCGGGGGCTGGCTCTGCCCTCATGGGGATTTACAGGACCCCTGGGCAGAGATTTCCAGAGCAGCAGGTTCTGCCTATGTGCGGGGCAGGGCAGGAAGGGCAGGTGTGTGCTGCAGTGCCACCTCATAAGCTATGCTCTGCTTAATAGCCACACAACACATACCCAAGCATCCTGTTTCCAAGCCATGAGGTCCCACCTCCCTGGTATTTGGCAAAGAGAATGTAGGAGATGAGGAAGTGTAAATAGTTCAAACTGGTGGGGCCTCTTAAACAGATTTCGGATGGTGCCAAATGAGTTTCATATTAGCTGTACTTTGAGTTCAAAACAAATTCAAAGGTGCTAATGCATTCAGGAAGGCTGGGTTTATCAAAACTGACCTCTCACATCCTAATAAAATTAGTATTTTAGAACATTTTTGTGAAAACATGAAAATGGAAGGGAGAAAGTTACTCACCATGCAGAGATGACAACCTGAACATTCTGGTGTATTACTCAAGACTTTCCACTCTCTGCATTTTTAAAATGTGTACATACATTTTAAATAAAAACGCCATTTTATGAAATGTACTCTTTGTAAAGTAGACATTGCATATTGCAGGAAAAGGTGTCAAGTATCATTCTATGCTGCCTTCAGGTTGCACAGAGCCACAGCTCAGGGCAAACTGCAACCTTGGCCTCCACCTGCTCAAGCCTGCCTGGCTTGCGGCCCTCCTCTGCCATTCCAGCCTGTAAGGCAGAATCGTGAGCACCAAGTCTTCTGCCAGTAGCAATCGAGACCTGTTTTTTTTTTTTTTAATTTGTGCTGAGAATGGATCCAGAGGCCTTGTGCATGCTAAGCATGTGCTCTATCGCTGAGTTAGATTCCCAGCCCTACCAATAGGGATCTAGATTTATGTAGATGGGATCATGGGATGTCAACAATTCCGGAAAGCTGTCTGGATCTTGGAAACCTCTAAGATTCCTGGAGAAGGAAAGCAAGGGCCCAGTTGGGACCTCAGGGACACAGGCCAGGCCCCCTGTGGTCGCCGTCTCAGGCACTGGCCTTTGAAGGGAAGCACTTGCTCTTTCAGAACCTGTCTAGACCCCACCTCCAGCCCCTTCTCTGTGGTTCCACTCCTGGGAGGGGTGGCCATCTGGGTCTCCTCCTCTACTGGCCCTTGCCGGCAGGAGCTTCAGCCCTTGCAAGGTTTGAAGGCGCTGAGCCTCCTTGCCCTGCTCTTGGCTGGGCTTCCACAGCCTCTGCCCCTGGGGCCTGAGTAGCCAAGCTCCCTGTGAAACAGCAAAGCCCCATTTCCCTGGGCTCTAAACACCCTGTGCTTATCTGGAAGCCCGAGGTTTTGACCAGTCCGTGGAGGACTAGACCCTGGGCTCCCGGCTGCACGCGTGCGTGCGGCCTCACAGGGTCCTGTTAGTTTTCAGGGCCAGCCAGGAGAGGCCCAGCCTGTGAGGCTTGGCGTAGCTCAAGACATCAGGAGCCTGGGTTATTCCTAGCTCTGCTCCCCTGTTGCTGGCATTTTGGCAATTCGCTGGACTCCTTGTGTCTATTTCTTTACGGTGTAAGAATATACGCACTTCCAGATGGGAGAGGAGCGGAGCGAGGACAAGCCAACAAACCCGCGACCCAGACACAACATACACAATGGCAGGATGGCTGGAGGCCGACTGCTCAGAAAGCTGCCCCCTTGGTTGGGTGTCTGGGTTGGACGTACCAAGGCTGGGCCCCCATTGTTACAGAAATACAGCAGCGACCAGTCACCAAGGACGTTCGGGACACTGGCCTTAGGCAAGAAAAAGAGCCTTGGTCTTTGGACACCAGTGTGTTAGAACTGTAGGTCTTGGATTTACTCAGCTCCAAGCTCCTATTGACACACAAGGGGTTGGGCCTCCTAGCGGGAGGGGCTCCCCCAGGGAGCTCCCAGAAGTTGACACAGGAGACTCAGATTTTTTTGAGGATCACATGATTGAAAGAAACCGGAAGATTTTGCAGGGAGACAGAATGGAGGTCCCCAAGGCAGCCCTGACGGAGGAGCTCCGAGCTTTGCTCTGGGCCATGAGCAGTCACAGAGGCACCTTTGACCCCTCATCAGAGGCCACCAGATTGCAGACTAGAGCAGTGCCATCTCCTGCAGTGCTGGTGTTCCCAGAGTCCCCAGGGCTGCAGCCTCCATGAAGTATGGGCCTATACATGGGTTTCTGGAGGTTTTCCATGAACAAGGGAGAAATGTTATCATTTAAGAAAATTCTGGTTTGTCTGGTGCCTTTTAAAAATGAAATTCATTTAATCAGTTTGTACATATAATTTCTAAAAGGCTGTAATAAGGAAGTATGTTAATATTTCCATGACTTCAATGCAATGGTTTCCAAAAAGGGACAAATATTTGGTGATGTCTGGAACAACTTTTGGATTGGTTGTCACAACTGGGGAAGTGATACTGGCATCTGGTGCGCAGGGGTCAGGGATGCTGCTAAACAACCTGCAATGCATAGGACAGCCTCCACCACGGAGAATCACCTGGCCCCTGGCACCAGCAGCATCCAGGCAGAAATCCTTCTGCAGCTGCTGAGATATAGTGAAGTTCAGGCTGGACACTGCATGGTGTGCCAGCATCTGCGTCTACACTCAGCCCATCTGCTGACCCCCACGTCACCTGCAGGAGGTCCTGTAAGCACTGGGCATCTCACACCCAACTGTAGCTAGAGATACAGCACCTGCTCCAACACAGGGGCTGGGCTCAAGGGAAGCCCCGCACCTTCCCATGTTAGGCACCTTACTATACACCAAAACCTCAAGACCTGTTTGTGAAATGTTGATGGCTTTGCTACATTTGGAGGGGAGAGGGGATAGGATTCCCACACATATTGCCCAGAGGCGTGGCGGCCCCAAGGCCACACTCTTCCAGGGCACTCCTGTTGTTGGTAGAATGAGTGGTGTTGTTTTACCGCAAATTCATTATCTGGGTTTTTCTCTCCTTTCCGAATCGGCCTGGAATATTCGAATCTCTGGACCTCGTTCGCCCTGTAAAAGCTGCAGAGACAGAAATGTCATCAGACATTGACCTTAAACAGCCCGTTCACTTTTAGATGCAGGATCTGGCCTTAGCTACATCCCGGGAAGTGGCTGCCGCCTTGACCTGCTGCCTCCTGGCCCAGCAGCCTCTGAAGGGAAACCCTGGCAGGTGCAAAATGAACTTGAGGTTCTCAGGGAGAAGGGATGCTGGGTCAGAGTGAGAAGGTGAAGTGGGGAAAAGGGAAGGGAAGCAGAGGGGCCGGGCCGCGTCTTCAACGTATGTGTTTATTATTTAAGAAATTGTTTCATCATTTGCTTCAATAATTTAGCAATTAAGTTATTTGATAACTTAATAATTAATTACTTTCTAAAATAGTTAAAAATTGATGAATTCATTATTTTTAGAAAGATGCTCCATAATTTAGTTTCAGATATATAGAATGCAGATCTGAAAGAGTGGCACCCGTGGAATGTATGTGCCTGCCTTCCTCCCGTGGGCAAGGGGTGGGCTTTGCCTATGCCAGGCAGGGCGGGGGGACTTCTTTCTCCCCCTACACTGAAATACGTCTAAAGGAACTGAGAGACCCTACAGTTCTATATTTACTTAAAGGCCCTCCCTGAGAAAAGACATTGCAAACCTTAAAATGCATGCCTTGTGAAAACAATCTCTTGCAAACACACGGAGTCTGGGTTTACATCCATTACTGCTGACGAAAGGTCAAAGAAATGAGGAGAGCTCGAAGAAACCACCAAACTTGAGGATGCAAAACAAGCATATCCTGAGGACCCTCAGGCCATCAAGGAGGCTAATGTTTTCACCGAAATGAGGATCAAACAGAGAAGAAAACTCTTCCCGTCAAAGAACCATCTGCAAAAGCAGATGTTCCCGCACCACTGCTATGTATGTCAGGGGCGACTCAAACTGCAAGGCACCAGCCCACGCAAATTCAGACAGTGAGGTTTAAAAACCACTCACAATCCTGCTTCATGGGTGGAGGGTTTTTATCTTGAGCTTAATCAGGAGCAAATGTTCGAGTCTCTTTCCTGCCACAGCCTCGAATTTCCACTCAGATTGGGTGTGGGACTGGGCTTGGGCACAGCTGAAGTGCTCCACAGGGAAGTCTACCCACCTAATGGGTCTCAAGCGACCAGAGTTTTCCTCCTCAGAGTTTTCCTTGTCCCCAACCTTGAGAAGGGAATCAGCATGGCACCCTTCAGGCTAGGGCCACTCCTCCCCACCCTGGGTGGAAGCTGGGAATCATGAGCTTCTCATGCAATTAGAAGAGGGCAGAAAGAACATGGGAGTGCTCAACGCTGGCTGAAATCCACCCTTCAAAAGGCAGAGTCATCAGCAGGAGGGCCCCACAGACACTCCCATTTCCCATCCTAACAAAATTACCTTACAATCTGCTCGGATACCGGACGGTGGAACTTAGGGGGCAGATCGAGTTTGGGCTTCACCGTGAAGCACTGGATATCTGAGGGGAAGGGGGTTAAGGATCAACAGGCAGCAGGGATGTTGACCTGGAGAGAAGCCCAAGCCACCCAGCCCTGCAACCGCCAGGGCATCCCTTGCTAGCGGAGTCAGCAGGGTGTCTTAAAGGATACACTGGCCAGCGGAGTTTTTGATGTCGTCGCCTGGTGGAGACGTGGTCTTCATTTTCTCTGCGTTTGGAAACTGAGTTAGTAGTCGGGCTTCAAAGTCTTCCCTGCGTTCATACTCTTTCCCCCGGTAAATGAAAACTTTTCCCTGGAAACAAAGACGTTCATTGCATAACACCACAGGGGAGGCCAGAAACGCTCACAAGCCAAAGCACCAGTCTTCAAGGTATGCGGGGAAGTTTTTTAAAAATGCGACTGCATATAAGAACAGAATGCGATGGTATGGCTCTTCCTCATGGAGGACACAGGGACAAAAGCCTCCCGAGTTACACTGCCTAGGCAGCAGCACGTTACCCGCATCTTGAGATGTGTCAGTCTCAACAGAGGCAACCAATTTAAAAGCTATGCAAAACCAGGGGAGCAATTGGAGCCCCAGGCCTGGTCAGAAAAGGCAGAGGCTGGCAGGGCAAGCAGAGAAGGACATCTGCACTCCTTCCTGGTAGGTCCTGAAAGGGTGAAGGATTGGCCATCGCAAAATGTGCCCAAGTGGTGTAATGACTGTTTCAAGCTGGAATTACTGGGGAACTGTAACTTCAGAAAGGATGTGGCCTGTTTTCCTCTGTGCAGCAAGCCATACCATACGGATCCTTCTGGGAGGAATGTCCTTCATAAACCAAGGATGGAAAATGATCCCTGGTAACTGGGCCAGCAGAGAACCTGAACAACACATTCTAAAGTAATCCTTATCTTCCGCCCCCATAATGATAGCCCTAGAATTTACTACCAGAGTCCAGATACATCTGTCCTGTCATTCTGTTAGGGATTTACTGTTCTTTGTCTAGAAAGTATTAAAGCATCCTGCTTTAGCCATTGCCTTGGACTTCACTCTCTTGTGAAGATCCCCAGATACATGCAAAAATAATAAACTCTGATGCTTCCCTCTTGTTGGTCAGCTCTTGTACCAACAGGTTCCCAGACCCAGCCGGACAGCCCACATAAGAAACTGAGGTGGGGGATCAGAGAGCAGGTGTCTCTCCCCCACAGCTCTACTTAAGTGGTTTTTGTCCTTCTGAAGGAATTTAAGATTGCCTGAGACAAAGGTGGGACCTCAGAGCCTGAGCATGGCCATCCTCAGCTGATTCCTGGGAGACAGCAACAGAAGAGCAGAAACCAAGGAAAATGGATCCAGACCAAGATGTTGGGCTCTCAGCCTCCTGGTGGTGAGAGGCTGGAGAGAGGTGGATGGCAGGTCTGTCCTTACTGTAATCAGAGTTGCCGTGCGGATCCCCATTCATCAAGGAATGAGAAAGTAAATGGTGACTTGAGATTAGAGCTCTTCTTCTAAGGGTTGGGTTTTATCCATCTCAGATGATACTCCCTAAGCTGGAGAGTCCGTCAGGGGCCAGACAAGGGACCTTGGTGGAGAGATGAAGAAGATAAGCTCCCCTCCCTACACAAGGCTCTTGTGGAGGCCATCTCCAGATGAGTGTGACAGTGACTCTAAATACATCTGCAAGGCAGGTTCTTCTCCATCCCTTCACAGATCCCCGAGTGGGTTCTGCGTGACAGCTGAGTCACAGACAGGTCAAGGCTCCCCTGCCAGGGCTGTCTCCACCTAATTGGAAACTGTGGCAGGGAGAGACCATGGGTAGGAGCCCATGGGTGGGTCTTGGCTGCGCTGCACCTGTGCCTCTTCCATCAGGAGATGCTGGGAAGACTCAGGACTGGCTGGTCATGAGTCAGGCACAGCCCTGTCATACCTTGGCAATCCCTGGACAGACGCCAGAGAGACAGGCAGCCAGAGGCAGCCGGGAACAGCATTTTGCTGCATATTTTTACATTTATCTTCAGAGACTCAGCCTGAAGTCAAATTAAAATTTGTCTAATTAATGGGTTTTCAGAGATAGAGAGAAATCTTAGAACATTCGATTAGCTTATCCCTGCTACTGTCTGCAAGTTTGTGTCCCTCCTAATCAACAAGGCGATGGTGTTAACAGTGGGATACTTGGGAGGCGATCAGGTCACCAGAGGCTCCACAGAGCTCCCTTCCCTCTGCCTTGAGGGGAACAGACCCCCACAGATGTCACATCTGCTGCATCTTGCTCTGGCTTTTCGGCCTCTGAACAGTCAGAAAATAAATTTCTGCTGTTTATCAATGACCCAGTTGAAGGTATTTTGTTACTTCAACCTGAGCAGACTAAAACAACCCTCTTCTCTAGGACCAGTGTATTCTGAGTTTTTACAAATTAGTGAGGAAGAAACCGTTTAAGAATTGAATAATTTTTCCACTTTATGCTTAGGTATGTCTAAAAGCACCATTAGGGAAGAAAAATGTTTTATTTCTATGAAAACTAATGCCAAGCAGAAACCAAAGTAATGTGTAGTCTTAATTAGAAATATAAATACACACATGGGTACCTTAGGAGGCTATATAAAGCCAAACATTCCAGAAATTCAGTGAGATTTAATATATAACAGGCTACTATGAAACTAGCATGCATTTATTATGTTTTATATTAGAAAAAAGCATAATAATAAAATGTATATAAAGGCTTTAATATAAAAACACTAGTGAGTTATAGAAGAAAACACTAATACCCTTTTTCAGAAATGTCAATTACTTTGCACGCTGAGGTAGTCCCTTCGAACAAGAAAACAAGGGGAAAATGTACACACAGGCAAACATATTTATTCCTTGTGAGGAGTATAAATATTAATATGCATGCAAAACCCAGATTGATTCGGGGAGAACGGCAGAGCCAGAGGAAAGCGAGTTCCTCAGAGGCTCCTCTGCCAGCAGCCTTGCCACCAAGTCTTCCGCCTGCTTTGTGGTAACTGCTAATGTCATTGTCAGACTGACCCCTGCCAGGTGATCTGTGAAGCGTAATAAATATATTGCCACAGCCCCACAAAATTATTCAGGTGTGGCAAGAAAGTCAGTTCAATATTAATCAAGCCCATTAAACTCTTTATTCATACTTTGCATTTTGTCCTCTGACAGTGCAAGTGACCCAGGACTGTCCCTGCAGCCCGCAGTGGCTGGAGCTCCCAGCACAACTTGCGGCTACTGGCCCTATGGCCACGTGTGTCCCAGGCTTTCCAACGGCAGACTCGAGGCAGGCTGCTGCCTTGCTCAATGTCGTCATCATTCCTTGTAAGTCCAGCTAGCAGGTGCCACACTCAGGCAGCCCAGTGTCCCCAGGGCCCACGGCCCCTCTGTCACCCAGTACAGCAGGGACTGCACAGTGCAGGGTGGGCTCTCAGCAGATCCACACAGGGCACACGTGCAGACACAAGCACTGATGAATGCCCTTCACAACTTCAAGTGCGTCCACTGCCACCTCAGGCCTTCCTTCAGTTTGTTTTTGAGGTTGTCACTGAACACCCTTTGTCACTCTCTGGGAAGGAAGACCTTCTCTCCAGTCTGGCTTTCTGATCCACCACTGTCTTCACTGCACAGTGAAGGCAGCGGGAGGGGCTGGCAGCAGTGAGCCCACAGTCGGGTGCTTCAGTAACTAGGGGGTCACTGAGTGAGGGGTCACCCAACCTCACTTTCTGGAACAGACCAGAACTGTGTGGGCCATTCCCACAAAGAGTGACATGTCCTCGGTAGGGGGAACATTGGCACCTTGTGGGTGTAGGTGAAGGGGTGCCTCATCTCACAGGGAGCCCTATGCAATCAGCAAACGTAGGCCGGGAAGCACAGCTCTGGGGCCAGGAGGATCTCCTTGCCGGCCTCACGGCCCCCCACCCCCCCATACCACAGCCATGCTCCTGGCATGGAAATTCTGCAGCCCTAAACCATGCCAGGCTGCCTGGGGTAAGGAAAAACCACGTGTCATAAAAACATGCCACAAGACAAGGCAAGAAATCACGACCCTCAGGTCAGTGACATCCAAGAATGTGCTTTTGAGAAACTTGAAACCACTTTACTAGTTGGTCAGGTGGCCTTTCTTCTCCTCCAACCTCCTGTGAATATTGGGAAATGGAGTTTGGCGGGTGATGGTAGTTACCACTCTGATCACATTCTAATAGCACCCACCGGCTTCCGGGATGCAGTGGATTCCTAGCATGGTGGCCCTGGGAATCCATCTCCAATGTTCATATGTAATTACAAATACACATTGTAGCAGCATTATTCACAGTAGCCAAAAGGTGGAAGCAACCCAAACGTCCATCAAGAGATAAACAGATAAAAAGAATATGATCTATTGATACAAGGAAATATTTTTCAGCCTAAAAAATGAATGAAGTTCTGGCACCTGCTACGACATGGGTGGACCTTGAGGACTCCATGCTGAATGAAAGAAGCCAGACACAAGAGGGACAGTACTGCGTGAGCCCACTCACAGGAGGTACTTAGAGCAGTCAGACCCATGGACATGGAAGGCAGAAGGGTGGCTGCCGAAGGCTGGAGGGGGCGTGGAGAGCTAGGGTACCGAGTCCTAGCTTTGCAAGATGAAAAGTTCTGGGGGTGGATCGACAGGGTGATGGCGGTGCGTGTGCCACTGAACTGTACAACCCAAAGTGATTCAAATGGTAAATTTCATGTTATGCATATTTTAGCACGATTAAAAATACACATAAATCCTGGAAAGAGAGTTCTTTTCAGGAAAAATCGAACCAAAGGGTTACATGCAATCAAAAAAGACATTCTTAGCTCCTCCAGTTCAGAGTCGGGCAAAACACCTTGGGAAAAGGGATTGCTGCCCAGGCCGCTGCAATCCCAGCTCAGACTGAGTAGAACAGAACTTACCCGAAGGAAGGTGGGGAACCCCTGTCCATAGTAGCCAACAGCGAAATAGTCGGGCTTGGGTCTGATCACTTTGACGATGTTTTCATAAAACTGAGCCTGCTTTTTCTGTAAGGAAGAGAAAGTGCAGTTCAGACTTAAGCATCATTCCCCTGGGCTCCTCCTGTGAGCTCTCTAAGCTGTGGCAGCTCCTGCAGGGCGGGAGGCTGGGAGGCCTGCACCTGGCTCTAATCTCACTGATGGTTTTGACATTCTTTTTCACTTATCCTCCATCAATCAGCAAGGGATCCTGAATAAACAAGCCAAATTCAGCAACCAGCCATGATTCATGGGTGTTTTCAAAAGCCACAAGAGGTGACACCGAGACAGTCTGTTTCACTTTGATTACATGGCTGGCCCTTGGTGTTCATGAATGGTGTGGACCAGGTACTGAGGGACATTAAAGAAGAATCAAAAAGGCTACAATTACTTTGCTCTAAGTTAATGATAAATATTGCCACATCATCAATGTGATCTCTTGAATACAAGACTGGTTAGCTGAGAAGGCTGGACCCAGAAACTTCCAGAGCTTCCATCTGTCCACCCTCCTCTTGTGGAAGGCGTTGGTTTTAGAATCCAAGAAGCTCCTGGAGACTCCTGCATTCCCCAGATCACGTACACAGGGGGTCCGCTGGTGTCTACGTAAAATCCACTCACAGGAGCCCCAGTCTGGTGTCAAGGGCTGGGCAGGGCCAGGAGCAAACAGCAGATTATCAAGGCCATCTTGCTGGATGGCACCAAGAACCAGGCCAAGGCTGGGGGATGCCTGGGGCGAATCCCAAGGAGAAAGTGCAAAAGGAGATTCCAGGAGAGCAGGCTTGACCTGCCTCTTGTCGTTTAAGCAAAAACAATGAAGACCTACCAGCAATTCACTGAGTTGCTCGTAATCAAACATTTCGTTCTCATACTGCTCCGCGAGTTCCTTGCCCAAGGCAATGGCCTCCTCCCACATCTGTGTGTCACAAGAGAGAAGGATGGTGAAGAGACCCGAGCTGAAGGCTACGGCCAGGGTCCAGCAGTAGGACAGCCACCCACAGCTCAGAGGGGACAGGGGAGACGCACACTGTGTTAACCGAAACGCCAGGGGACAATGTCAGGGAGATGTCAGGATTCCCTGGAGGCTCCTGTCCTCTGGCTTAGGATGCAGTGTCTGTTGACTAAACTGGTCAACCCCTGGCTTATCTATCACATTGCCCTCTGCCCACGGTGGTCTGCGAACCCATCCTCACCCACCCTGTCCTCCTCCTCCCACTGTCAGTCCTGGCTGCCAAGACCCCTGTGTCAGGGCAGCCTTGGAGCCAGAGAGAAGGGCAGGCAGGTGATGGGAGGCTGTAGGAGACTTAAGTGGGATGAGGGGCCTGATTTGGTCACTTTCCAAAATGATCCCACTTAATAAACACCACGGCCCAAGATACCAGCTGCCAGAAAGGATTATTTCAACTCCAAATTGAAGCTTGCAGAAAGCTGCCTCCATGTGCACGTACCGTGTGGACACAGGTCCTGCCACCATTTTGAAAAAGGGAAACTTTGTATGGTAAATAATTAAAAGTGCCTTTCCAAGTAACTGATTCTTAAAAATGTGGCTGAACTTTTGACACATGGGTAATGTGATCATTTGTTGATCTACAGGAGGCTAAATTTTCCTAGGGGAAAAATAAGATCCAGTGGATGCCTTGAGAAGAACGTGGGAATTCAGAGGAAGCACCCCCTTAGGAAGCCAGTCTGGTTGCTGCCCAGCCTCTCTGCGCTTCCACAGTGGCCCTCACTTCAGAACCTTCTGTGATGGGTCCAGACTGGAAAGCTCCCGGCTCTCCCCCTCAGAGACTGCAAGCACCTGCACCGTACATCTGTCTAACCGCTGGACTCCTGACCCGGGCCTGCTTAACAAGGCTCAGGAATAGCCTCGTGACTTGAATCCAGGGAAGCTGTACCCTCACCCATGCTGTGTCCCCAGCCACAGCCCCTGTTCTCCTCCCTGTGCCACTCCGCAGGTGGGAGGGCTGAATTTTGGCCAGCTACTCATCCTTCCCTTAACTTTGACTCCCTCCTGCTAGGACCCTAAAGACCCATGTGGGCATCCTACTCCAAGGGAGGCAGCAGTGCTGACACCCCCAGGAACATGCCCATGGCTCTTAGCTTCTCGCAGCTGACAATAAGTCCAGCCACCCGTCTTTCCGGGTTTAAGCCCTTCAACCACCTTGTGGGGTGGCTGTCTCTTCTCCGTCTGTGTTGCCAATGAGCAGGCTGAGGATCAGGCAGGCAAGTCACGGGCCTGAAGGTAAGTGGTGGACTTGGCCCAGGTTGGCCTTTCTCCAAAGTTCTTGTTCCTGAAGATCATGTACCAGTGCTTCCGGTTGCTCCCAACCTTCCTGCGGCAATGGGTTTCAGGATTCCAGGCGAGTCCCTAACCTGGGATCCCACAGGAATACAGGCTACGGCTCCTCACCTGGTGCACCTGTGGCATGAAGCGCCCCCACCCCACCTACTCATCTTTGTCTTTTCTTGTTACGATGGGCCCCTGAAGGCCTTGCTTATGACTGAATCACCCAATACACTGAAGAACCCTGTTTTACTTAAATGTTTCCAAATTACTCTTTTCATGTGACTACACTAAGAAGCCATCAGCTACTTCTGATGAGAAAAAAAAAAGATATTCTGGAGTAAAAGTCGTATTTTAGTACTTCGAAAAACAGCAGCAACAACAAAATAAGCCCAGAGTAAATTTCAGAGATAGGAGCAGTGTCCAGGGACAGGAGGAGGTGGCAGAGATGTGCTACCTGTGGTCCCCCACTCTGGGTTCCTGTTCCCTTTGGTTTAACATGGCCTCACATTCTTTGAATACCTACATCTGATTCTCCAGATCTTTTGCAGTCCTTTGTCAGAGCCCAAGCCCACATACCCAGGGAGGGAATCTCTCTCACTTTTAATGTTTCTTTTAAGCTCCAGTGAGCATGCCTCCCTTAGCATATTTCCATTTCAAAGACAACATGACTGTTCCTTGTAGGTCCCCTTCACTGGATTTTTCTTTAGTTCTCTGCAAGCGCATACGTTCACTTAGCAGCCTAGAATGCTAGAGTTTCTAATTCATTCCCCGGTGAAAGCTTAATCTGTCTTTATCCTAAATGACAGATGAGGTACTTTAGATACATATCAAAAGTAATTGTTTTTAAAAGAAATATAAGTCTTGAGTAAATATCTCACCCGGCTCACCCTGCGGTTACGTGCTCGTGTTTTCTATCAGATTTTCTATAAATATATATTCCCTTCTTCCCCTCCGCCTGTGTTAAAGGATTTTGCAGCAAGGAGATTTTCATCTACTTCTAATTGGACAGGGCTTGAAAGAAGAGTGTGGGTAATTCATATTTCCAACGTGAGCACCGTGGAAAATATTTCAGTGCCAGAGAGAAAACAGATTCAATATGATCTAGATTTAGATTATCTCAGTGAAAGAACCACTTTAACCTTGGCGAGAACGTCTGGCCAGCGGAGGTCCACGCGGCCCCAGATGAAAAAGCCCGTATCCGCAGACAGCTTTATTTTCCAATCTGAAGTCCTTAATCCAGTGATGGCACCTTGGGAAAGCCAGCTCCTGGCTGCTCAGCGCCCACTCTCTCTCCACTGCTCTCCAGCGGAGGATGATTGCTTCCGTTCCCTGCAGATGACGATCTGTCCCCGCTCTGTGAACCTCCTGTGTGTCCAGGACCCTCCATTTCTTCAAGTTCCTTGAGTAGAAACCGCTCCTGATGAAACTCCTTCCTGGGTTCCCAGAGTGGCGGCAGGGAAGGTACCAGGTGAGGCTGATGGCTGACCACTGGGGTGCAGGGGCACACTGACCCTGATCTGGCGGGATCAGGGAGCAGAAGTAGCTGAGTATCCCTTAGATTCCCTCCACCCCCATTCCAGCTGAATCACCAGGACCCAGAAGTGGCTCTGTTCAGCTTGCTCACCTGCTGTGACTCGCAAGGGAATACTTCTTAAGGGAAGCGGATTCCATCCATTCTTCAACTCACCTGCTTCCCACACAGTGAAGGGAAAGGGCATACTCCACTCCCCTGAATTCCCAAAGTCCCACAGAGGCCTCTGATGCTTAAATGGATGAGAGGCAAAGGAAGAATCCAGAGCTCTGGTTTAGGTCCCTCAGCATCAGTGGGGCCACAGGGGTCCGGGCCTAGCAGGAGGCCTTGTTAGGTCAGCTCTGTCTTCAGCCAGCTCTGAGAGTGAGAGTGAGGCCCTGTCTGTCCCCAGGTGTGTCATGAGGGGGCCCCTTGATCTCGCTGTGGCCTGCAACCTCTCCTTACACAGCGCATGCACCAGTCCCCACCTCCACTCTAACAGTACATTTTACTCATACTTTGATAAAATAGGGTTCTTTTTAAATAGGAGCACATCATAAAGAACATATAATCTCTTTGAATATTCAAGGAAAATTCTGGCTAATTGATGAGACTGGCTAACATTGAGATTTTCAGGAATTTTAGAAATGCTAAGGTTTGAATCAACTCATAAAAAGGGTTCATTATTCTGACCTGAAATTTGTCTTAATAACAACTGTGTTTTTAAAGGGAAACTCACAGGATGAGAAAATTTCACCCCAAATACTTAGCAAAGAAATCCAACCATTTCACCCAAAGCAGGAACTTGTTCCCAGACCCCTATTTTTAGTTCACAAGATGATGAAAAAATGCGTCATTTTTTCGAGTTTGGTGCAAGGCAACGTGTGAACTTTGTCAAAGGAAGGTTATTTTAAGGAAAAAGAGCAAAGCTTCAGCTGAAAGAGTCTCGGGGAGCCAAACACCCCCGAGCTGTAAGTTCTGGGTCATCTGTCCACATGGCCAGGCGGTCTGGGTTCCGGCTGACTTAGCACCGGCCAGTCCTGCTTGGCGCGCTTGGGCCAGCCACCCCTTCTAGCTCAGCGGCTGTTTAGACTCCCATCCTCCACAGAGAAGCCTGGTGATTTTCAGTGCAGAACTTGGATTGAGGGCTGTATTGAAAATCGCCAGGCCTCAACCACGCACAGTAAGACAGACAATTCAGAGCACCTTCAGAAAAGAACGCTCCTCGGTCCTGATAAAACCGAACAGAGGCTTTTGGGGGGGATGCTCAAAACGGGAGGTAGAAATGGAGTGGGGAAGGAGCGAGGAGTAATTATTAGCCCAGGAAGGAAGAAACATTGGAGAGTGAGGAGGGGCAGACAGGAGTGAAGCCGGTGCAGAGAAAGGAGGAGATTAAGAGACCAGGAGCCGGGCTGAAAGGCATTTTAAACTTTTTAAACGGTGGAAAAGCAAAAATAGAAGAATGATTTTGTGTGGAAGAAATACAGAAAGATAACAGAACATAATTCAGCGGTGAGAGTGTCCAATAGAAAGAAGCAGAAAATCCATTCAGCCTTGCTGGTTTCAGGGCACAAAGGCAGAGACTTTAATATAATCCGACCGGGAGCCCCACCTCCACCTCCCTGCACGCACAGGGTGAACTCAGCAGGGGACTCGGGTGGGGACCCTGTTCCCTGCCTACCTGCCCAGCATCCTAGGGGTCATGCCAGCCTTCTCTGTCCCCCCGGGTAGCTGTATAAACTTGGAAGGTGAATGAGCTCAAGGATGTATGTGGTTTCACACAGTCATATACAACAAAGGCTTCCCTAATGACTTGAGCAAACAGGCCCTGTGGGGACACGTGGTACCAAGAGAGGCGCCACGGTTTCATCAGACTGAGCTAGCCTTTGCCTTCCGTTTCATAATCTTGCAGACCCCAGGACTCCTTAATCTTCGGGTTCAACTGAGGTATTAGGTCCCCTGGCTCAAAGACACTTTCGAAAAATAGGAACTGTGATTTGCTTCCTTAAAATTCACTTAAAAACCAAGGCAACGCTGGCGGTTTAAACGCTGTGAATGCAGTGGGTACGGGCTCAGATTGAGCCTGGCGGAACCCGGGTCATCTGATAAGGCAGGCAGC